ACAATAGTCTTCCCTGAGGGAGTCCTGTTCTTCAATTCTTTGACTGTTTCTCAGTACAGTTAGGATAAAGAGCCAATCTGTAACAGGACTTAACTTACCATGCATGGCCTGCTCCTGATTATGTCTTAGCTTACAACTCCATTCCCCATTTGTACTCATGCTGGATTTTTCTTGATTTTTTGGCATTTATCAAGATTAGTTCTGTTTCATGGCTTTTATATTTTCTCTTCACCCCACCTCAGAGGTGCTTTTTCAGTTTTAGCAGTCACCACACTTCACTGAATATCTTCTCATGTTAATTCCTCAAGTCTCAGCTTAAAGATCATTTCTTCAGAGAGTTCTTCTTTGAGTCCTCAGTCTAGCACCTTAGGACCTCCATTTTAGAGACTCATAATTATTTAAATCAGTTACTTTGTTTAATAAATGTACTTTTCGGCTACAAGCTTGTCTCGAGACCACAGGAATCTTGCCTGCTGCTTACTGCTCTGTCCCCAGAACTGGATAAATGCCTGACGGCAAGAGCTCAATACATAGAGGTGATTCTCTATATGTTACCAATTTGTGGATTTTTTCTTATTGCTAAAACTTTATTTGTAACTCTCAAATTAATATTTACATAGTCGTTCAGGAACACATGCCAAATGGTGAAAAGTTTGAGTCACCTGGTGCATCTGTTCCCAGATGAGAACAAATGAGGCAACATAGCCTTTTGGTTCAGCTCTTACACTGTAAGCATATGTCCTTTTCCTGTCTTGTTAGCACCAAGATTTCCACAGTTATTGTGCTTTTTGTTGGTAAATTCTTTGTTTAAATATGGTCTCCAAACATAGCATTCAGAGCCAAGCTGAAGAGCTGCTTAGTGTTCTTCTGAGTGCAAGAATTCTGGGATGTACCTTACGGAGAAAATATGTGTTAGCTAAGTTTCCTTCAGATATGAGTTACAGTGCTGTTGGTTCTGAATTAAGTATTAATAAATAGTATATGTTTAAGAAGATGCCTTTAAACAGGCACACATATAAAATAAAGTTATGTATTGCAGTTGTTTTAACAAGAGACCCACAGGAACCCAACATTGTGTCTCCTCTAGTAGAAATGGTTCAGTATTTGCTAATTCAGTAGCACAGCAACATTATAGTGCATGACATAATGAGAACCAACTGTGCTTGACTTATTAAGTAATGTCAATATGAACACTGTGGGGATTGTTAGGGCTGCAGTCATGAAAGACCTGGACTGTTCATTTTTTTCTAAGGAGAGATCATATTCACTAGGAGAAAAAAACAAGAAAGGAAGAAACTCAGACATCACTGGGAACAAATAATGTCCCTGACTGCTGAAATGTTACTGTGTGACCTTTTAAACTTCTTCACAAATACATGAGGTTCTACTTTCCTAGACGGAACGGAAGGGATATGTGGAGACAGGAATACCTCAGAGGACCCTGGAAGTTTTTAATGAGAGACAGCCTGAGATGGAAGGAGGGGGAAAACATGAAGGTGTGCCAGTCCCAGGAATCAGCTGAGAAGCAAAAGGCTTAGTTGGGCTGAGGATGGGAAAAGATGGAGCTAGAGATGGAGACCTTTGTGGCAAGACTCATGGAAATGAGTTCTAATGTTGAATCTGCATTACTCTTTATTTATGAATTGAGTGTGGAATACATGGTAAGGTAGACCACCTTGCCAAACATCTGGATGTCTAGAGCAGGCCAAGCTGAGAAGAATCAACCTCCAAAGCAGCAACTCAGGATCAGGCTATAGAGGTGAGTCAACAGAAACTAGAGGAGGAGTCAGAACCCTGGACAGTTCCGTGGAGCTTGAATACTGTTAAATGTCTCCAAAAGTGTACTGTTTTAATAAGGACATACTGGCCATTCCCTCCACCCTCACCTGCCTTGAATAAAACAATTGAATTGTAGATGACCCTGGCATGGTCTTCCTTCTTGGAAAAGGGAGATTATCTAGCCCACATTAAATTCTTCCCTACACACATTGGTGGCTTGACTGGGAGGTGGCTGGGGAACCCTGTGGTTGAACCTGATGGAATGTTTTAGGCCACCTGGGAATACTATTTCTTCTTTCTCAGCACTTTGTTGTATTCTGTAGCCTCTAATGTAAAAGCTAAAAGATGTGGCATTTCTTAGCTCTCTCTGAGCTGCAGAGCTAACAGCTGTTGAGTCCCCACTCTGCTCCCTATTCTGATCCAACCCCAAACGCTCTGCTCAGCCTCATTAATTTGCTTTATCAGGTTCCTCTAATTAGCTCAGTGGAGTCACATACACAGGGCTTTGTGCATTCACACTTGTCATGACTGAGTGATCCACCGTTGAGTGCCATTGGCAGAGGCCCACCCTGCTCTTGGGAAGTGTCTGGGGCATAAGAGAATCTTCATGAATATGATGATTGTTGTCCAGTCAGACTTTCAACCACCAGCCACCCTATTACTGGTCCTAAGTAATGAGAGGGTAGGAGGAAAGCTCAGAGGTCTTTGTGTTGCTTCCTTCTTCATGAAGGACAATTGAGAATTCTGCAGGTACAATTCTTTAACCAGGTTTGGGATGCCATTTGAATGGACAGGTGAGGAAGAGGAGTCCCCTTTCACTGCACCTTTTCTGGACATGACCTCTCTCACTCCTCTGACACTGACACTCACTCTGACAGAGAACATCTGGGGAGTCTAGCAAACAGACAGAGACAGCTGTCCCTCATCATCCTATCTGAGCCTCTGGCACAGTGGCAGGTGACTGTTTGCCAGCTGTGGCTGCCAGAATGGGCCAGTGCACAGCACAGTGAGTCAGAATAGTCTCTAAAGACCTGCAGCTAGCAGCAGCTGTGCCCTTTCTTCTTGTGTGGTCCTGAGACATTCCAACCACCGTAGGCCTCCATATTCTTTGGTTGTGGAAGAAGGTTAATAATGTAGTAATATGATGCTGTATTTTGTTAAAACCCAAAGTGTTTTAAAAAATCAAATGTCTGCAACTTTCACAGAGTTTCAGGCACAACAGGACACTTTTGGTACATGGAAAACTGAATGGCTACACAGGTAATTTTAAAACTGTAATGCTGTGCAAACATTCATTATTTCATTTTGTTGAAGAATGGCTATTTTATCTGTGTTTAAGCTGAGCATATTCAATGTTAAGAGAAACATTTTAACTAGTTTATTCATGCTCAATCAAAAACAGTGCAGCCTTTTTAGGAAAGTGGTTGCCACCTGGAGTTGGGTTTCATCAGTGACCGTGAAGGGTGGTTACTCTAGAGAGGGAATGTGGAAGAAGTGGGCAGAACACAGCATCTGTGCAGCTCTACAGGCTGGTGCGGGCCCAGAGCACAGCCTACAGAAGGCCTTGACGGGGTAGCAGGGCAGAAGCTGCTTCAGCACAAACCAAGAAAGAGAGGAGTTAGGAAAACAGTCTGCATGGGAGAAGTGAAATTTGGTGTATAATGAACCATTCAACTCTCCTACATCAAATAGAACTTATAGGCTGAAAGCCAGAGAAAAATAGAGAGAACCAAAGACAGCTAAGTGCTAATCAAAGAAATGTTGATAATAAGTATGTCATCACAGTTACAGATATGACAAAGTATTCCTTATGTGCTTTGAAGTTAAAAATGAATTTCTCACTTGGTTTATATCCTATTTCATACTTTAAAAATGAATTTAGCCATTTTTAGGTTTACTATTATAAACAAGCAATAGAAAATCCATGGGAAGTGGATTTGGAAACATAGTTCTTTTTAGTTTTGCTTTCTTTCCTTCCTTTTTCCCTTCCCTACCTCCTTTTTTCAGAGCTAGAAATTGAACCCAGGCCTGTATGCATGCTAGGTAAGTGCTCTACTCCAGCCCAGTCCCTTTTCTTTAATTTTTATGCATAAACTAAGTAGAATTTGTGCTGTGATGTCACAAAAAATGAAGAACCACGAGTCACCTTGGAGGAAGCAGGAAAGGCTAAGCTTCATTCCTATGATCTGCCCAGAAACCTTAGTTCATTTTAAAATTTATTTTAAAGAGAATAAAACAAAACAAAACAAAGCAGATCAGAACACAACAATGCAAACAACACAGGATTTCAAGACAAGACAACAGGAAATCAACCATGGCTACCAAAATGTCTTCTGTTCTCCCTGGAATAGTTGTCCATAACTTCACACACATTGAGTTCAAACAAAACAAAATAGTATAAAACTGATCAAAACAAAAGAATGACAGCATTACTGGCCTTCAAAGCCACACAATAGGAAAATCAACAATGACTACCATAATGTCTCTTGTTCTCTTCAAAGTAGCTGTCCATACCTTCACACATATTGAAATCAAATAATAGAAAGTGGACTAATACCAATAAAAAAAGCATTATTGGACTTCAAAGCAAGATGATAGAAAATCAACAATGACTACCATAAAGTTTCATTTTCTTCAAAGTAGCTGCTCATACTATTACATGTAATAAAATCAATTCTTGTAAATCCTTTAGGAGAAGTTCTAATGGCATGTATAAGCCTACACATGTACATATATCCTTTCTGCATCAGATGGGAAAACAAGCAAATAAACAAAAAAGCAAAATACAAGAAAAACAAAAAACAAATAGCAATAGAGACAAGTAGCAATAACAAAGAGCCCAAAACCATAACAATATAAGCTTTCAAAACAAGGTGGCAGGAACACAACTAACATTATTTTGCATAATTATTTTCAAAAGAGTTACCCAGATTAAACATGCAAAATTGATCTAATCCTATGAATGCTAACTGCTTTGTTCCAAGAACTAATAGAATTAGTTGAACACTCATCTTAGCTATCTTAAGTGTATATACACAAATTTATGTCTAGAAACCTTAGTCCTAGCTGATAGCATTGTCAGAATGAAGGCAACCAGCCTTCATTTTCAGCTGCCTGTTCCCTGGAGTAGGCAGAGTCACCATGAGGCCTGGGAGGCAGGGTGGGCCCCTGGGGAGAGCCAAGGGCTGCCTCCCACCACCCTGGCCTGAAGCAGGACCTACCTTTGTTGTCATGCCAGATCCGCAGCTTGCAGAGGTGGCCTAAGCTCAGCATGTCAGAGAAATTGAATGTGTCTGTGTTGTTTCGCTCAAACTTGTTCCAGTTGGCTGACTGCTTCAGGGCCAGGGTTCCACTGTCTCCGTTCTCCCCAAAGATGATGATGAACACGTTGGCATCGGTGCCTGCTCCTGGGGTGCACAAGAGAAGGCTCTGAGTGCCAGTCTCAGCCACAGAGCCCTCTTCCTCAGGCCCTGCTCCTGGGTCCTCAGAGGAGCCAAGGGACAGATATGCAGAGTGCAGAGTTGGCAGGCCAGAAGACAGGTCACAAGGCTGAAGGTCTCTAGTTCTATAATGCATCTTACCTTTGTACTTTGTAAATGCTATTTGCCTAATTGCAGTCAAACAACTGTGAATATTTTAGCACCAAAACGCATTTATTTCAGAGGGAAAAGGTATGTCACACAGCTTGGCTTTTACAGTTAAACACACAGGCTTCCTCTGTATGAACTGGGTTCAGGAAAAAGCATAAAGGTCTGTACTCCTTTGAGTCCCCCTGATTGACACTCTTCCCTAGAGTATCATATCATTTGATTAAGAAAAATAAAGGATGTAAAGTCTCCAGCTACAAAGTAAATGTTAGGCCAGTGTGGTGGTGCATGCCTGTAATCCCAGCTACTCAGGATGATGAGGCGGGAGGACAGTGAATCTTGCCCAGCCTTGGTAGATTAGTGACTTAGCAAAACCCTGTCTCAAAATTTTGAAAAAGGGCTGAGGATGTAGCTCAGTGCAAACACCTTAGGTTCAATCCCCAGTACCACTAAATAAATAAATGCAAATGTCTTTGGAAGAGGCGCCCTGTGAGGCTCGTCTGACACACACCTGATGTCATCAGTGAATTTAGCGATTGTCTTCTGAAAGCACACCGTGCAAGAAGGATAGAGGGGGTTACCGGGTGTGGTGGCTCACGCCTGTAGTCACAGCACTCGGGAGGATGAGACAGGAGGATCATTGTGAGTTCAAGACCAGCCAGGGCTACAAGTGAGCTTAAGGCCAGCCTGAACTGCATAGAGAGACCTTGTTTCAAAAAAAAAAAAAAAAAAAAGGATAGAGGAACATGAAAACATGTGGACTTAGAACCTTTAACAAAAAGAATAAAGGCTCTGTTGTAAGGAGAAAGGGAAGAAGGGAGGAGATGAAAACATTTTACTGGATTTACTGACCCAAAATTTATGCCTGATAATCTAATGTGAGCCCTTCATTTCTTTGGTTAAATGCTTCTATTAAAATCATAAACTGCCATGGCCAACAAGGTAATCTTTCACTAATCATTTGTTGGTCAGACTTCCAGAGATGGCTCTTAGAGAGCAGGCTTGGCATAAAGGAAGGTGGGTAGGAGGCATTGCCTTGGTGGCTACACAAAAGTGTCTTTGACACTGCCCTTTCATTTTTTCTTCCTGGATTTTCTTGGAAGCCTTTCCTCTGAGTGTTCCATCTGTGTAAGTGGCTTCTGTCTGTCTTTCTGGACTTGGCTTTGGCATCACCGCTAGGAAGTTCTCATGGCTCTAACTTCTGTCTTGCTCTGGGTTCCCTAGTAGGACCTGGGCTTGCACATTTCAGAGCCTGGCCACTCAGCATAGAATTTCTCACACCCAGATGTCAGACTGTGCGGCTCTGTGATAGTCACACTCTATCACTCTATCCAGGTGAGAGCTGGAACACTGTAGATGGCTGCCCAGCACCTGGGTGTAGGAGGGACTCTGAGGAGGCCCAAAATGCTCAGTCCCAGATAAGGGGTGGCTGGAAGCAGCAGAAAGACAGCGAGCTCTGAGTCAAGCTCGTAGGCCCTTCTAAAAGTGCAGCCCAGGCTCCCTAAAAATATTCTCCCTCACTTCTCTGAGACAGAGAAGAAGCCATTTTAGTTCCTGGATGGAGACATATTGTCCAGACATCTTGTCCAGAAATGACACACTGTGGAATTTGAGGGTGGGGGACAAGAATGGTGGGATGTGGGAGGGTAGGGCACCCACCCAGGACATCGCTGGTCTTCACCGTGACGGTATAGGATGTCCACTCCATCATCTCCTCCTCATCAATGACAGCACACATCTCGCACACTAGTGTCTTTTTGCCCTTCCGCTGTGACAGCCAGTCTCCGTAGTAGAACATGGTCAGGTCTCCAGTGCTCATGTTCTTCAGCAGGATCTGGGGAGGGACCCGTGCAGGAATGAGTTTCCTTTTCCCATATGGCCCTGAATGCAGTCCCTTCTGAACCCCAGGGACCCAAGGTCCCAGACCTGAGGGGAGTTCTATGACCCAGATTTCAGGGTTGAAAAGCCCCATGGTGATTCCTCCACTTGGAGGGTGCAGGAAGTGACAATGTCTCTGAAACATGCCTGTTATGGTGCATCAGAAGTGTCTGCTGAGTGACGGACAGAAAAACAGACTAACCAAGCCACCGTCAGCCACAAATGCCAGGGAGCAATGAACTGATGACATTTGCCAGATTGTCCTTAGTGTGGCACCGTATTGTCAGTGCAAGAGAAATCTGTTAATGTCTGAGCAGGAGAGGAAGAGCCAGAGGGGACACAGGACAGATGGACTCTGGCAGATGAGGTATGAGAAACTGACCCAAGCAGGAGAGTGGAAATCTTTGTGTTATGGGTGGAACTGTGTTCTTCTTTCTGCTCAGCTGTGTCTGCTGGAGTCCTAACCCACAGTCCCCCAGAATGTGACCTTATTTAAAAGCGGTTGTCACAGGTGTAATCACTTCAGATGAGGTCAGTGGAGTGGGCCCTAATCCAATTTCGCCTGTGTTTCTATGCAGACCCAAGAGAGTGCCCTGGGAAGGATGCCCAGGCACCATGGGCTAGAGCAGATCCTTCCTCACACTTCCCAAGGGAGTGAGCCCCACCTTGATCTTGGACTTCCAGTCTCCAGAAATAAGAGCCTGCTGTTAGAGTCTCTTGTCATAGCAGCCCCAGGACTCTACTGTCTAAGGAAAGCAGCCTCTCACCAGCACCACACAAGTTGTAGAGCCCAGAGCTCATGTGACACTGAAGCTGTGTTTGCAGGACTTTTATTTCTTGTCATTAGTCCCTGTCCTTGCTGCAACTGGAGGACTGCAGGTCAGGCTCCTTTTGGCACTCATGGCCTCCAGCTTTGGGCCACATATAGAAAACACAGTGTATCACAGTATCATGTTAGTTGCCATCAAAACACACTATGGTTGGCCAGGATTTGGAAACCCCTCATCTCTGTCCCAGGGCAGTGAAGGTTAATGCCCCACTGTGGGTAGCCTAGAGCCTGAGGCCCCGTGAGGCTAAGGAAGGCAAGCAAACTGCAAAATGTAGATCCCAAGAAGGAGCAGAGGCCCGCTTCCCTTGGAGGAAACTGAATCAGTGGCACACTGTGCCAGGGAGGGGTGAGTGGAGATGGGACCGAGAACCCCCAGGCTTCTGTGGTGGAGTTCTTAGTAGCGAGAGTCTAAGGACTGGGATCCTAACTGAGCTGCTGGGGCCAGCCTTGGGCTCCTCCTGTGGCAGAGGACAAAGACGGAAAGAAGCAGCCACTGACCTGTGGGAGTGCAGGAAGCCTCCTATCTGGGGGTCTAGAAGGCCACCTGTCTTCCCACCCACTGTGACAACTTCACTATGACCCAGTTCTCACTGCTCTTTTCTCAGCCTCCATCCCAGAGGAAGCCCTCCACAGGACTCCCGACTCCAGGGTGTCCAGTTTACACTGACACTCAAGGCACAGGCTCCAGCAGTCGATTCCACTCTCACTGAACACAGACTCCTTTCTCTGATGAATTAATGCCAAGGGCAAGTTGGATCAGCGTGAGGTTCAGGGAACAGCCCTCCTCAGAGGGCTTCTTGTTAAAGTACCAGGGCTACTGATAATCCAGCAGCGCAGGTAGGAGAGGGAGGTGTGTCTGGACACTCACCCTCTCCAGGAACCACTCAGGCCGGCTGCCCAGGCCATCGATGCGGATTCGCATCTTGGTGAAGGGAGCAATGTCCAGGATCTCCATGATGAAGGTGTCATTCTGTTCCCGCTCGAACCTGGGGACCAGGATCAAGAGCATAAAGAGGGGAAGCTGGGCATGTCCAGAGCCAGATGTAGAGTAAGGAGAGATGATGAGGCCTTTACACAGCCCTAGTCTGCTCCCAGCAACTTCCCAACAGCCTGGCTCTTGCACTCAAATAAGTTCCCAGAGGACTGGGTTCAGTGGGTGTAGCTGGTAGAAATGGCCCCAAGCTAAGAGCTGCCACTTCTGGGTTCTGATCTCATTCTTATTCTTGAACAGCTGCAGCCTTTCTGGAAGTGAGTTTCCTCACCGATAGTCTGGGGACACTGACCCTAACTCTGCAATTCAACAAAGCTGTCTTGGAGACCAAATGGATGTAAAATCAGGTCTAGAGACAAAAGAGAGTTTCATACTTGAAAAGCTTTAAGTGACACTCTGAGTAACAGGGCCATCATGAATGGTGCCGCAGGGTGTACACTGTGCAACTCAGAAGGTATCATTTATATTTTTCTGTGTGCAGTCTGTGTAACTGGAACACAGCAGCCTCAGCTTAGGTAATGCTGACAGCTGTAGAATGGTAGCAAATAGAAGGTGATGTTGCATTTGCTGCTATTATTATTTCCTGCAGGATGACTTCATCATTGCCGAGATGCTTTATCCAGGGTTTGTGTTGTTATCCAAGTACAACTGTCTACAGTGGGGAGCCAATGACAGGGACAGACAGTTAATATTCTAGGAGGTTCACCTTACTGTCATTTCTAATTACCGTTTAAGAGAGCCCAAAGCTTAGGGCTGCGGACCACCAGCGTGATGACTGGCTATGGCACTGGAATATCACCTTGCTGTGCTCCAGTTTCTCACCTTGGAAGAGGAGTGACAACAGCCTCCCTGGGCTGGGGGAAGAACAAGGTGTGTTGCTTTCCTTAGCTGGAAAGTCACATGAGTCCGGGGCCCTTGCCTTTCTGGCCCTACTCCTTCTCCACCATCTGAGCCAGTGCTTGGCCTATACTAGGTGTTCAATTGTTCTTTAATGTTTTGAGAATTGATCACTTTTGATTTTACAATCATTTTGCACCCAAAAAGTTACAAAAAAGACTTCTGTGTTATCTTTCGCCCAACTTCCCCTAATGTCAGCATATAACATTACCACGGCACAATTAACAAGAAATCACCAACGGTGCAACATCGGCATCCAATCTGCAGACCTTACGGTGAACACCTTTGCTTGACTGGATGAAAGAGGGCCGAATGGAATCGCTATGGACTGTGGTGACTGAGGAGGGCCTCCTAGAGGACTAGGTTTGGGCTGAGTTTTGAAAAAGAAGGGTATTGAGACAGGATGAGTGGTGATGGGAAGGTCCCCCCATGTGTGACAGAACCAGCGTGGCTGAAGGCAGCGTGGACAGGGCTCAGAGGGTTGGATGGGAGGACGGTGTGGGTGGGGCTTTCTCCGGGTACCTGGCCTTCTTTTTGTCCAGCTGCACCTCTTCTGTACTCCCGTTGATGCCATAGAGGGTCATAAAGATGTTGGAGTCAGTGCCCCCGCCGACCACATCACCTGTCCACACTGTCATTTCATAAAGCACCTGCCACAAGAAGGACATGGCCTCGAGCTTAAGCCTCCCAACCAAGTGACCCAACAGGCCCCTTCCTCCCCAGAGAAAGAAGGTATACTCTCCAAACCTCCCGGCTCTGAAAAAGGCCCTCCCCCAGCCAGTGTGCCCGGCTGGAGAGCAGGGGCCAAGACTGTCCCTCTCAGGCTACCCTGTGCCCAGCCCAGCGCTGGAGAGGAGTCCAGTTCCAGCAGAGGGCGCTGTGCAGCGGGAGCGCGGCCAAGTCCGTGATGTGTAAGTACGTCCAGTAAGATGATTGCGCCACTGGAGCTCTTAGTCGGTGTGAACCGATTCTGTCAGTCCCTCCATGTTAGCAGGGCACCGTGGCAGGACAGTGGTTTGGGGGAGCAGATGCCAGCGCTCCATTTGAATCTGAGCTCTGTCCCCTCCCAGCCTTTGACCTTGGGTAAGTGTCCCCCTCTCCAGCCTCTGCATCCCCTGTGGGAAACAGAGGCTCATCCTGGCAGAGCTGACAGAGCTTCAGATAGTTCGTGATGGCGCCGGGGGCTTGGTGTGCTACGCGCAAGGCTTGAAGAGGCAGAGTGGTTCAGGTGTTTCTGCGTCCTGCCTCAGCCAGTGCACACCGTGCCTTCTGTGAGCAAGGAAGGCTGCGGGGGTGGAAGTAACATTTAAGAGAATCCTATTTCAGCCCACCTGGAAGGTGGAACCATTGTATATTCACCTAATTTTAAAATTTAGATTGTGATTTTGCTCCTTTGCTTAAGATTGACTCCAAAGAACTGAGCTCCCTTTGTCTGTAAGGACAGCTGCCTTCCCAGGGAGGGGGTGTCTTCTCTGAACAAGGCCTCGTGACAGGAAACATCACCTGGATCACACTCTGGAGTGTTCTCTGGCCCTGGATCTTTACTCTGCTCTTCTCATTAGGTGGTCATGGACTGTTTATTAAGTCTACAAGTTCAGGAAAGGAGGAAAGACTGCTCTATCTTCTGGAACTATCACTGGCCCTTCCCTTCCTCCACTGGCTGCCATGTTCTGTCTTGGCTAGGTGAGCATCTGGTTCCCTCTGCCCAGAAAGTGTAGATCTTGGAACCCAGGGTAGTTATCAGAGTGGTTGTGCCTTTGCCTGAGTGCCTTCTGGAGTCTCCATTGTGATGTCTCAAGATCAGAATGGCCTTGTGCAGGTGGACCCACAGGCCAGCTGCCACCAGAAAACCCCCTGGCTGCCCACCAAGGGCACTTGTGATGGGCAGAAGGGGCTCCTGGGAACACAGACAGAGCCTGACACTTTTTGATCTTATTCAGACAGACATAAAAATAGAGTATTAAAATGAATGCTTTAGTGGCTGAGTGGTGACCCCCAGCCCCTGTGTTTCCCGTGTCCGCCTCTCTCTCCTTTACACAGGCATATCCCTTTTTATGTAGTTGGTGAGTTTCCAAAAAGAGACAGAAGCCTGCCATCAGGAGTGGTGGGGAGAGGGCCAGTCCACAGGACCCCGTGGTGCTTTGTATAGTGACACACCTGCCTTCTTTTATTCCGGGAATAGCAGGAGCGTGGGGTGGGTTTTTGCCCTGGGTAGGGTGTGTTGTGAGCAGGGGGTGGCAGACAGGCTGGGAAGTGGGTCAGAGGCTGTGATGAGCAGTGTGCCCTCCCACACCACAGTCTGACCACAGATGGAGGTGTCTGGGGGAGGGAGGTTGTCTGTCCAGTGAGAGGGGGGTGAGGGCAGCAGCCATGCTCTGCCCAAGGGGATTTTAGTGTCCAGGACAACATAGCCTCTCCTGCTGCTCCCACTCAGGCAGGTCTGGCTTTTGAGGCACTAAACTACTGGTTTGGCTTCAGAGACAGGTAAGAGCTGGGCCATCTGTTGACTTCACAATTTGTGAGAGAGAAAGAGAAGCCTGCAAGGTCATATGATGGATGGCCCGTGGCCTCTAGACATCCTGCCATCCTGCTTCCTGCCTGGCCCTCACCTGTGAGCTCATGCAGCCTTTCCCAGGGCCAGTTAGATGTGGAGCACGCTGCTCAGAACTCCTGCCTTCCCAAGAAGGTCTTATGTAGACACACTCACTGAGTTATGAGATCTGCAGGCTCAGAGTATCCCCAGTGCCCTGATTCCTATTCCTTTGCTGTGGTGGGTGGAGTAACCTGGGAAGACCATGACCATGCATGGTCTTGTGGATCCGTCACTGTCTGAAGCTTTCCCTGGACAGTTCACGTTCATTAGTACTCACCAAGATCGGACACAGGATAGGCTATGAAGGGAAGTACTAGTTCCATGTAGTAGTGGACAATAGCAAGGCCCAGAGGGGCCAGGTGAGTTTTCCAGGGTCACACAGCAGCAGACCAAAAGGAAGTAAAGTTACCTGACTCCAAACAAAGTGAGCCTGGCTAGCATATATCAGGCTGCTGCTTCTCCTGCCTCCCTCCTTCTTATGTCCCTGCTGGGATCCTGCTAGCAGTGTACACTCAGTCCCCCATACCTTCACCCCAATGTTCACCACCAAGGCATCCAAAAGGTCAAAGACTCGGGAGGTGACACCATCGCCTCGGTCCTTGGCAAGCCAGCAGTTGCAGCGCACCGTGTACTTGGTGCCCTGGGTTGGCACCGCCAGACACAGCTCCTCCACCAGCCAGCAGCTCTCAGGGGAGGCCCCATCATGGCCCAGCTGGAAGGGAACACCAGCTTCATGAGGATATGAGCATGACTGGGAAGAAAGCGTCCCCTCCTTGTCGGGCACCTCATCCCCATCCTCAGTATTTCCTACAGTGTGTCAGGCACTCACTAGGTGAAGACCCTCCCATGAAGGGGAGAGTTTTTAAGACCTAATTAAGGTCTCTAGGCCAATTATTGGAAGTAATCAAAAGATGGCTTAAGGTAGACGTAAGATTAATTAGCTGAGCCCTTTAAAAGAGGATCTGGATGTCAGAGATGAAAGAAGCCAGAGAAATTTGGAGCTGAAGAAATCCTTCCTTATCAGCTTTGAACAAACACATCAGTAGGTTTTGGAAATGGACAACTACATGGGAGGAAATGGCAAGCAGCCTCTGGGAATGAAGGCTTCTATCCTATAAGCCCTAGACAATGAATTTGGCCAATGACCAGTGGGCTTAGGAGAGGAGATTCCAAGCCTGACGAGAACACAGCACTGATGCAGTTGGCTTTCATCCCAGTAAACGTTTGAGAAGTGGACACAGCTAACTTACATCTGGACTCTGACCCATGAACAATCATGCACTCATGTTTCTTTGACTTACTAAGTTGGTGAGAATCTTACACAACAATAGCGAGCCAATACATAGAGTAGCCCCATTGAGTGGGCAGGAAATGGGGATGCAGAGGGGCAGGCGACTGACCCAAGATTGCCCAGCTCATTGATGGTGGAGACCTGGAGATCTTCCTCTACTGCCTGCTCTGAGGAGCTCCAGGTCATTGTCCTCCACTTCCCAAACCACATAGTGGCCATTTCCTTCCTTTCCTGTGGTCAGTCACCGTCACAGGGCCCCAAAGACCAGCACCTCTATTTTCTTGATGACACCCACGTCCAAGCCTCCAACGTAGAACTCCTCCACGGAGCCGCAGGCAAAGCCCCTCTTCCCCTGGGGGTAGTCCAGCCAGATGCGGTTGCTGTGCTCATCCTCCTCCCCAATCAGGATGACGTAGGCCCGGCTGTCGGTGGCCGCGTCCTTGTGCTTCCCGGTGGTGACCGACACATAGTAGGGAATAACTGCAAGGGATCGTGGGGTCCAGCCTCATAAATGGCAAGCTGGACAAGGGTGCTGCCCTGTGGGTTGTGGACTTGGAAATGAGTCCTGGAGGGTGCTAACCTCAGCCCTCTGCTCAGAGACCACAAGAGATGAGACTTCCCAGACTGTGGCATGCACTGTGGCATCTACTTTCCAGGAGTGAGGGAGTGCCATCACTCCTCATGTGAAGACCATGCAAGATGTCCTGGTCATTTACGTGGAGTGCCAAGCTTCTAAAAGCTCTCTGACTGGCTGTCTTACTTGAACTTAGTATACCTGGTGAGGAAGGGTAAGAGCAATTCCCTCTCCCTAAGTTCAGGAGTTGTATGCCTGCAAACCTTAGTATAGTCATTGAAAATGAGATCTCAGGGAAAAAGCAACAGCAAGGTCTCAGAGAAAATAGGAATTGGAGGAAGAATAACAAAACTGTATCATATCTGTAACATGGTAGATGAAAGTCTAGTAGGTATCTCTTTCCAAATGCAATCAAATGAGATAGAATAAAAGCTTGCCCAGGTGGTGTGGCACAGATTTTTAGCTATTTACTCAGTATTTATGCTTCTCATAGCGAGGGATGATTATAATATATGAGTAGATGTTGTTGAGTGGGCTTCTGGGAAGTCTTTTTTAAAAGGGCCTGATTCTCCTGGAAAGAGTACTCTTTTACCCCATCCCTCTCCATTCATTTTGCTTGAGATATGAATGTGATGGCTGGAGCTCCAACTGTCATCTTGGAATAACAGACATTTAGGATGGAAGCTATCTATTTATAAGCTTGCTAGAGTGACTAGGCTGAAGGAAAGCAGAATCCTGACTTCAGTAGAGCTGCTCTATTAGTCGCAGATGGTCTATCTTTTACTGTTATGTAAGAGAAAAGGAACAACTCTGAATTTGTTTAGGCCACTAGACTCCAGACCTCTGTCATTTGCAGTAATTAATTGGTAGGAATTGGAAACCCTTCCCCTGTCTTATCCTCCTCAGTAGGCTGGGAGATTCTGCCCTGGTGTAGTGGTTTTCAGTTATGCAATGTGCATCTCTTTGGAAAGTTTCCCAATTGTCCCCTCCTGGCTGGAATTATATGCAGCACTTTCTGTACCTATACATGGCCTTTTTCTATCTTTGCAAAGAGAATGCTACTGGCCTTTCTGATCACGGTGCTTAATTAAGGACAAAAACTTTTTGTGGTCCTGTCATTTATTTACAGAGTGACAAGGTGAAGCATAAATAGATTGGCTCTCTGCCTGACCCCACAACCCACCACATGGTCTCCTGGAGAGCAATATTGTGGTTGCCACACTGTTATGCTTAAGAGAACTGAATAGAAGGCAAGGCATTGAAACGTTCAATAGACAAATATAGAACTGCCTTATCTCAGAAATCTGCTTGGTGAACTTGCAGGAGAATTATAATACTGTTTTTTGAAGGAAAAATAAACTGAAGCCAAAGGCAGAGTTTGCAAGATACCTTCCTGGTGAAAAAATCAGTGGGTTAAGGACAGCATCACTAAATCTTTAGCCTTTGCTTCTCTATCTAATAATGGAGGCTCTCTTTCTCTGCCTTTTCACCTCATAGGGCGGATGTGGGGATCAAAATAGTCAATACATATGATGACTTAGTAAATCACAGAGTAGTAGATCTGCGTTATCAATGATGATGAGACTAATGGTTGGCCTGTTCTAAAATAGCTTAAAACCATTTCCTTTTGTCTGCTCTTCCTTTAGAAAGCCTTTGTGGCTCAGCTTACCTGGGCCATCCTGAACATAGTCGACCATAGGCCCTGTCACTGTGGCAATGTCCACGTCAGCCATCTTGGAGCTCAGAGCAATTTCCCAGAAGTCAGCGGGGCTGCTGCAATTGCTACTGCGGTCCCCAGTGTACTCCTGTCCAGAAAAGCATGATTCTGGCTCTTTAGAGTTCCAGCACTTTTTGACCCATGGGTTCCCCTATAAAGATGGTGACAGACCATGGCTGAGCCAAGGTCCTGAGCATCTCTCTCTGTACCTTCTCATAAAAGAGTCTCTCCAACCGCCCATCCTCTTTCTTCAGGGACAGCCAGCGCCCGCACAGGAATAGGAACTCGTCCTCATTGGTGTCATTCCAGATCTCCACCTTCTCCACATACCAGTCTGCACACCACTTGGTGTTGTCATGGCGGAGCTTGATTTTGTAGATGACACCCAGGTCAGCAGCCTCGATTATGAAGGTGTCGGCCTGCAGAGCCCAGATATGGAGATTTTGGTGAGGCAGCACTTACTTTAATCCTAACCCTAACCCCGTCTTTTCAGAATATCCTATCCCCCTCCAATATTAGGCTGGACAGATCTTCCTTGCTGGGGAATTTTCCAGGCCCAAATTCATAGGACAATTGTTTAACGTCTGAATTCATGACCTCGCTTTCATAATGAGCCCATTTTACAGTCTATTCATGCATCTAAAACTTCCTTCATCCAAATTCCTCTTGGGATGATCCTTTAGGCATCTGGAAGATGAACTCTGATGAGCTATGTGAGTGGGGGTGGGATCACAAGGCTGTGGCAGACACAGAGGAGGAGCATTTGGCACAGTCCTGTTAACTTGAGGTACTAGCAATTGAACGGGTTCATTAGAGTGAAAATGGCACATTCAGAAATTACACTTCTTTCCATCTGTCAAAGACTTTTATAGTGCATGGAGATGTTTATTGCACAACAACATTTACAGTTGGAAACTGGAAGCTACCTGGGGTTGACCACTTTTGGAACAACTAAATAACCTGAGCACAGCCTTTCCTGCAGAATAGATGCATGTGAGAGCTCAAAGAAGAGATGGTTCCATCTACATGTGAATATCCTGCCACTGAAAGATTCCCAAAGCATCCCACCAAGTGCTAAAGGCAAGTGGAAGAAGTGCTTAATGCTATGATAACCTTCATGGAAAAAAAATGGAAGCAGAGAGTAACATCATCTGCTTTCTCTGGGCACATGCACAAGTAAGCAGAGAAAATTCTAAGAAAGGTGTGGAGACAGGAGAAAGCATAGAAATTTTGGAAACTGGGCCCAGTGCTCTGTAGGGGACGTCACAAGCAGGCTGAGCAGTGGGGATCAAGAAGATATTTACAAATCCTGTGAAGAACTCAGGCGGAGTCTGTGACCCTTAGAACCCTTGAAGGACTGATGCAAAGGGAACCTCCATCTGTTTTGCATGGGTTAATGAGGAAGCTAGAGGATGAACTGGCTCTTGAGGGCTGGAGGAGGGAAACCAGGTCAGTTCACTAAGCAAGGCCAGAGCGGAAACGCTGAATGCGAGGGCTGGCTCAGGTGATCTGAGATGCTGAGAGGAGAGAATCTCCAGGACAGGTGTTTGGGTGAGGGTGGGGAGAGGGTGCTGACAGGGAGTGGGGTGTCAAGGATGACTCTTGGATTGCAGAGCAAGTAATTGGAGAAACGAAGCTTTGAGATGCTTGGTAGTCAACTTGAAGTCACAAAAGTAGTTCCTGAGCCAGCTGTATCTCCAGCTCTCCTAATGGAGCACTAAAACCAGATGAAAGGTAGAGAGTGATGGGAACAACAAGCAAAAATTTCTTGTGATGCAACAACAGAAAGAGAGAGAGAGAAAGAGAGAGAGAGAGAGAAAGCGCCTGAATCTGACTAGGAGATAACAGACTACATCTCCTTCATTTATACTTTCATTTATATATTGCCTCAACACGTATTTATTACTTATTTTCTGCCAGCCTCTGTAAATATAGCCATGAACAAAAAATCCACCTATCAGCTATGCACCACACATTTCTGTTTTACAATGTGTGAATACACAATGCAAGAAGGGGACAGGTGATATAACTGTGTGCCAGGCATGGTTCTGGTACCTCACATGTTTTAATTCGGCTGACTTTCACATGACTCAAAATTAGCTCTGTTTTATGGTTGAGGAAACTGAGACAGAGATGTAAAACAACTTGCCCAAGATCACGCAGCTAGTATTAAACCAGAACTTGAACTTAGGTGATCAGGCTCCGGGGTCTGGATACTTGAATGACACGACTCTTGTAGAGTCAGGGACACCACACAAATCTACTTGATCTCTTTGATTTTTCCATTTTTCCACAATGGAAAGAAGATGGATCTTCTAACTATTGTACATGGGTAGTGAACAGTCATGTCTCTGTGAGGGGTTGGGATGACTTTTAAATTATTTTTTTCCCTGTAACAAAGCACTGCTCCATTGTGTTCTGTTTTTCAGTCTTTAGAGCTAATTAGCAATCACGTGACTATTCCCACTTCAAAAGTAGAAAGCTGAAGTTACAGGTAAATAGCTTCTGTCTGGGTCACAGAACAAATGAACGGAGTTCTGGGGCCTGTCTTCCAGGGACCTGGTGACCAGGGCTTGGGCTCCCTCCTGAGGCCTCACTCACGGAGTCTATGGCAACTGCACATCCATGCAGATGACATCATTTTTCTTGTCTTAGAGTTAATTTCCTCCCCACCAATATCAAGTGCCTCAACTCTGGGGCTCATGCCTGGCTGAGGGTCAGGCTTAAGGACATTCTTGATGAATAACTATTGAGTGACATGAAGTTCCCATAGACATGGTCACAGACAAGACCACAGTTTGTGATAGGAGCCAAATTTGATGTCCATGGAGAATGCCTGGTCTGTGGGGGGTTTAGACAGATTTAGATGGAAGGGGAGAAAGAAGAGAGACTGTGGGTCAAGTGAAAGGATAAGCCGGAAGAGGAATGGGAAGAGGGTCTATGGTAGGGAGAGGGAGGCTGTGTAGGTGGGAAAGGAAGCTTGGCAATGCCCACCTTTGGGCCCTTCTGGACAGAACTCTTCCTTCTTGTAACATTGCTGGATCTCAGAGTTTGAAGAACTGTCATGGTTTATACCTAGATGTTTCCACAAAGCCTCAGGGAGTCATAGGGTTTTTCACACATGGCTGAACTTAGCATGTGATGTGGGGATTAAGAGCATGTGACTAGTAGTAAATCAGTCCACTGATTGACTTGGCATAGTTTTTATTAGGATTAAGGGTGTGAGTGCTACACCTGCCCTATGGCGGGTAGCCTGCATGCATTATATGAGGCAAAAAGATGCTACTAAGCTCTCTTGCTTACTTTGCTGCCTCTGGCCACCATGAACAGTTGCAGTGCCAAGACACTGCCTTGGAGCCAGCCAATGATGGACTGAAACCTCTACAAACTATGAACTAAATAAACCTTTTCTTCCTTAATTTCGGTGTTGGGTATTTTGTATCAGTAACAACGGATACAACAGAACAACAGAAAAGTAACTAAGACAGATACCGACTTCTGGTCATGTGGTTTTCAAGCCTCTTTATAATTATGGTGGCTGTTGCTTAACAGAGGATCTATATGGCACCCCACCAAAGAGGCCAGGTCAAAATGCTTCTACCTATGTGGTCATGGGGAGCCTATCTGTCCTCTCAACACTCCCCTTGTCCCCATGTTCCCAAGGGCATCAATGCTGCTCAAGGCTCTGACCATCACAGTTTAGCTGATTTGCATCTAACTCTTTACAGATAAGAAAACTGAGGCCAAAGAAGTTGAATCAGACAAGGAGCAGATGGCAGCATTACACTTCCAGACCCCCAGGTGCAGCTTCTGTTAGCACAGGTTCTCCACAGGCTTCATCTCCACATGCAGGGACCCCTGTCCCCCAACCATCACCACCACTGTGATGCTGGGTTTGGTGATGAGGATGAGCCATCCACATGTAGCCAACAACCTGGAGCCAGGCCCTCCTTGGCCCCCCAGCCCATCTGTAGGACCCAGGGTGGGTGAATCAACTGAGAGTGGGGGGCAAGTTCAAAAGACCAGTAAGGATGCATGACACCGTGAAAAGACGCTGGACATCTTGGGATCAAGGAGAAACAGGTAACTGGAGTGGGGTGGAAAGGGGAGTACACTCAGTGCACCACCTACCGTGCCTCTCTCGAACTTGTTGGTGCGGTTTTCGGATTTGCCAAGGTACCGCTCTCCAGTGTCCCCCAGGTCCCCGTAGATGGTGATGTAGACCTTGGCATCCGTGCCTGCCCCAGGAACATTCCCTGTGAAAATCTGCACCGAGTACAGCACAACTGGACAGGAAGTTGGAGAGACAGACAGGGGGAAAAATGATGACGGCAGTTAAGGTCTGGAACTGGGTTTTTAGGAGCTCTGGAGCTCTGTCTGGATCTGGAGGAGGCAGGACCTTCCTGTCATTTGCTCACTGAAACATGTTTGGCTACATTCTGTGTAGACTCCCCCATGGTCTGGATCAGCGTGCCCTCACCCACAGAGTCCCAGAAGGGAGATAGCTGCCAAGCTTCAGTGGGTGACTTAAAGCTTGAAGAAGGCCTTAGTATCAGAAAAGAGGCTCCTTTAAAACAGTGACGATCCCTTCAATGGTGTTTCCTGCCTCCTAGAGAAACGATAACTGAGTGTTGGCAGCCACGTTGGAACTGTGTGGCAGGAGAGCACAGGGAGGAATGGGAGCCTGGACAAAAGTGAGCCCACTCCCATGACTCAGGATGTTTATAGAGCCTAGGGAAGGGGATCCTCTCCCTACTGTGGCAGAGCTGGGTTTCGTCACCAGCCCTTGCAAATAGACTCACCGCCACTTCTAAGTCAGCTGCAGAGAGCAAAGTGCTGGACCTGCTCATGGGTGCCCACTTACGGACACACTCATGTCTATGGCATGGTTCTTACTGTTCCTTTCTTTTTGCTTGAATTTCACAGCATCCTGCCCTCCTTATTCCTCCTTCTTGAATTGTTTCATAGATTCTTTATCTCCTGTACCCTGGAGATACCAAGTTATATGGGATCCCCAGGCTCTCATTTGCACAGCCTGGCATTGTCTTCCTTGAATTTCTGCATTAGCATCTTCAACCCAGGCCCTTCCTGGACTTCAGACCTCTACTTCTATCACCTCACAGTGATTTCCACCTTGTCTGGATCTCAGCCCCAGAAATTGGTGTGTTCAACCAGAGCTCTACCCCTTCTGCACCCTTACCGTCTTTCCAAACTTCCCAACCCACCTGCCTGCCCCATAGACTTCTCTCTGAAGCTCCTCGGTGCTCAGATGTGTCTCCCAACAGGAGCAGGAAACAGGGGTTACTGCTGTCTGCCTCCACCCCTGCCCCCCTAGCTCAGTGCAGAACCCAGCAGCATTTTATGTGCTGCACTGACAAATGAAATCTCTTTGTTCTTTAAAGGAGCCAACATTACCCGAGTCTGCCAGCTCACACCAACACGAGGTAACATTAGGAATCTTGTCACAGCTCAGACACAACAGTCGGCTGTCCTCCTTCCTTACTCTCCCTCCTCTTCCTGACTCTACATGTTCCCCATGTAAAATCATCACAGGTGGGTAGGCCCGTTCAGATACCTTCCTAGGAGTCTGGGTCCCAAAGTGGGATGCATTGTACCCAGGGGCTATGACTAAACTGCCTGCCTACTCCCCCACTGCTTTCCCCCACCAGCCCTTAGGGGATTAGGAAGACTGATTCAGGCTCTGGGTGCTGTGCAATGTGGTTGTGCAGCATCCAGCTATTTCTGGATCCTCCTCCCTCCCAGTCCCAGCCAAGCAACACAGCTCCTTGGTGGAAGGATGTTTCCTTAGAAACACCACCAAGCTCAGAGTAGGTTGTGTAGGGTGAGATTCACACAGAGCTGCCCAAATGCACCTCTGGGACAGCTTTCCAGGGCATCCCCTGGGGTCCAAGTAGAAAAGAGAGTCCTCCTCCTGATTTAATAGTACATAAAACATGGAGATGGGATAAGGGTCAGGAGAAGCCCCCTCAGTACCAGGGCACACTTGCTGCCCTGAGTGGCAGCTCAGATTAAAGTAGAGCAGGAACTATGGCTGTTACTTCCAGTGGCAAAAAAAAAAGAAAAAGAAACAGTGTTTGTCTTTTGTCTTTTGACTGTCTCATCAGTTTAGCAGACAGAAAGATCTACTCCCTTTGCTCCGTATGGGAATATTGGGTTTTACTGGAATCTTGGGTTTAATCCAGTTTTTCCAAAAAGGTGGCACCACAAATACAAGTTGGATTTCCAAACTCTTGGAGCTCCTCGGGTCTAGTTAGACACATTGCTGAAGAGGCCTAGAGGAGTCTTTTGTATATTATCAGTGGTAAAATGTCTAGCTTTTGCATGTGAGCTGATTTTTGAAATAACTGAAGTTTATCCAGAGTTGAATGGTAGGTGAATAATACAGGGTTTGACATGGAGAATGTCATCAGCCATCAAAACAGAGGTATGACTATGTCCATGTGCTACAGGAAAAAGGTACACACACACACACACACACACACACACACACACACACAATGGTAGAGAGAGGAGAAGGCTGTGGAATGACCTTAAAGAACAACTCTGGCCCAAGAAAGGAAACTAGTATTTAATGGGCTATTTAGAGAGAGAGGCAGAGTATCAATATATGATGGTATCACCAAAAGCAAAGGAGGTGATAACAGAAGTGAGTGGTCAGGTCAGTGCAAATTCCTCAGAAAACAAAGCACGTCCATGAAGAAGGGACAAGGGACAAAGGTGACAATAAGTCCATGACCTGGACACTCTGAGGCTGCACCTAAATACACCACGGCTGCAATTACTTGTCAACCCAGGAGGCCTCTTTCTATCTTTATCTTTCTTCCCCACTGTCTCTCCCTCCTAAGTTCCCTCCCTTCCTTTCTTTTGCTTCTTTGTGGTACTGGGGAAAAGCACAGAGATTTATCATTTAGCACCAGGATGTTTCTTAATTCATACTTAATTGGATCCAGTAAGAACAGCAAAGACCAAGTCAACACACCAACCCAAATAAGCGGAGCAGGAAGAAAATCAGGAATAAGATAATTCAGGCATCGGACAGCCCCAGGATGCATTATCATGGTGGCAGACTAAGAAGGGATTTGAGCACAACCTTTGGAATGAAGCAGCCAGACTCTGCAGATGAGCTCTGCTGTGTGCTAGTTGTATGACACTGGGCAACTATGTAACCTCTGCTATCCTTTGTCCTGTCTACAGGATAGATGACCATTGATCCTCTTCTCAAGTAAGAAGACTCAGGCTGGCATGGGGCAGATGCTCTATCAGGAGGACCACAGTTCTGGAGCTGCTTAGGAGAATGACAGCGACCTCCTACACTTACTGTCTAGAGGCTCCTCCACTTCTTTGTAGACTTGCCGTAAGGACCCATCTTTCATGTATTTCTCAGTGAAGATGTCGTAAGGGACCAGTTCTCGAATGGTCTTCTTGTCATCCTCAGAAGTGGCAAGCCATCGATCACATGGGAAAGTCAAGGTCTCTGTACCCTGGCGTGTGGGGGGAAAGGAAGTTAACTCTTGATATGGAAACTGCCACCTTCAGCATTTTCTCAGTATGCTAATACCCATCAGGACCAAGTTTAGGGTTATGGGCATCCACAGAGAGTGGAAAAACTGCAAGGGAGAGTTTCTGACCCAATTTAGTGGGTCCAATTTTACTTTAAGGCTTTCACAACTATAACAGGAGTTGTCTCTTGAAGGCTGAGCTTCCAAAGTTCTCTTACACGTAGATATCTGAGACCCACTTCAGGGACTCATCACCAGTGGCTAGATAGGGAAGGCTCTGTACTTTTGAATTGCTCCTAAGTCATTCATATCCACAGTTGTGACTGAGAGGTTTTTCAAAATTTAGAATTTTGTGGATTCAAAATGTTTTCCAAGTTGTTCAGGGTAGGTTTTCTTCTGTTAGTTGGCCTTGAGTGGCAGGAAGGACAAGTTGGTCACTCACTAATAGTATGTGCTTGGTGGGGGGAGCAGAGACAGGGTGCCTAGCCTGTCCTCCTTGGCTACTAAACCAGGTCATAGAAGATTCCACTTTGGATGTGAGCTAGTCCGCATATGTGAGTGAATTGGGTGAATTGCTCTCAGCAGATTTTATCTCAACTTTATAATGCTGAAGCAGCCAGCAAGGGATCTGCCTGGAATACATCAGAACAGACTGGACAGAAACTCACATCTTTGTCTGGGAGGAGCCTGCGGATGTCCACGTGGGAGCAGTGCCACCCAGGATTTATGCCCGTATTATCATGGCCAATCCGAATTTTTTCAATGATTTCTCCCACATCTTCTAACTTTGGAAAAGAGAAAAGATACCAGAGATTAGCAAACAGGCCTCAGTAGCAATCTGCCTCCCTCCCCAGGGCACTTCCTTCAAGTCCCCTTGAATTCCAGGGGTCACTTTCTCTGAACACTTCTGCAACACTGCACCAGGCCATTCCCCATTCCCTCTTCTCTGAATGTTCCATGCTCACATGTCTCTTTCCTGCTCCCCATTTATAGTCAGTCTTGATGCAAGCGTTCAGTTCAGTGCCCTTCTCTGGGAGGTCATCTTCTCTTCAGGGTGGATTCCAGCCCCATTTTCTACCAGTTGCTTAGTTTGGGTACTAAATTGGGTATCAGAAGAGAAATTCTCATTTTTCCTGTACTCCTGCCTTGCCAAGCTGACCTCATTCAAGCTGTCACACCCCTCAAAGATCCCTTCAAATTTCTGCCATTCGGTTTCTGGGCTTTTACAAATTCTAGTCCCTTAAATTTGACATTTTCCTACTACTAGATCTTTGCTCATATTCTGCTGACTCCTCCTTTTTCTTCTTTTTACCTAATTCAGTTCCTGTCCAATCACATAGCTCAGGTCAGAGATCATGGATCAAGTCTTATTTCCTCGGGAAAGCCCTTTGGATTTCCCAGAGAAAGTCAGATCTTTTCCCAAAAGATCTTGTGACATGGTGTTGCTCCTCGTGACACCATAGTGCTAAGTTTACATTGATTCATATGACACCTGTAGTCCCCTCCATCACTGTATCTTGCCCATTTTCTCCTCCACTAAGAAGAGCCTCAAAGGCAGACACTATGGTGCTCACCAAGTTGTCCCCAAAGCCTAGAATGATGCCTGTGACATAAGTACTCCACAAGTATGGGCCAAAAAGTCAAAAGAATGAGTATTTTCTAATCTGCAAGGTGGTAATAATAAAGTCAGCCAGACAACTCTGCCTCGTAATATGATGATGAACCTTACCCACAATGGCATGTCAAAAGATCACGTGTGAGCGTTGGTGAGTTCCTGAGCTGAGGTACCGAGAGTCTGATCATTTCTCTGCTGCCTGGAGCTGACAGGGATAGGATGAAGGGCTTAGTCAGGAAGCATGGATTCCCTGACCCTTGCAGGCTCTCTAAAGAGGCAGTGAGTGGTCAGACACAAGACAAGGCCATCTGCTTATCTGGCACATGCCAGATGCTCTCTGGGCCAAGCTGCCTTCCAAAACCCCATCATTCTCGACTCAAGCACTCCTAGGAGCCTCTTGGATCTCCTCTTCTCCTTGGAGATGATGTTTTATGACCCACACTCGTATTCATCTGTAAGAAGACCTGGCTCAATAACAGGATAAGAAATAGATGAGAAATAGGGCAAAGGAAAAAGAAGAGCAGGGAGATACAATAATACTAAGATGCCCTGGCTCATGGCTGGCCTAAGAATTCGTATCACAAGGTTAGTGTCACAGTTGGGGGGAGGGGGAGGGGTATTTGCAGACTTGAGTTCCCTGGCAGCCTCTCTGTGGAGGTGGTCACACATCCTGCTCTATCAAGATCTCAGATGTCACAAAGAAGTGGCATCATCAGCTCTGGTGTGAATGGAGAGCTCACCAAGAAAGAAGTGTCTGAGTGATTGATTGAGTCATTCACCAAGTGCAAAGCCTTTATATCACAGACACAAGCAACCTCTGAATGAACAGGAGCTGCCTCTGGCTTCCTCCAGGAGCTGCCTCTGGCTTCCTCCAGCCCTGGCCCTGCCCCTTTCCTATCAGCAGTGCTTGGCAAGTCTGTCTCCCTTGCCCTGCCCTCACCCTTCCCATTCGAGCCCTGGCTGTATGACTTTAGACCAGGCACCAGGACTTAACCTCTCCATCTCTAAAATGTTGAGATAGGTATCTTATTCAGTTCGAGACAGGGCCATGTGTGGGACAACTCCTTGAGGTTATGTCTGCATCTAAAACCACAAACACCATTCTCAGCTGAGGAGATGTCAGCTCCGTGGATGAGTGAATCAGCCTTGAATTCTCCCTGATAAAAGACAGAACAAAGGCAAAACACTTTCCCACAGTGTTGACTGCTCCTACAGGAGGTGAGAAAGGGGCAGGGGCACAGGGGACAGTGACTGGACAAGGATGGAGACATGCACTGGACTTTGTTTCCTACCAGAAAACAAGGGGGATGTCTCCACAGGTCCCTAGTACCTGACAGTCCCAGCTCTTAAGGCTCCTGGCTCTTCTTCCAGTGCCACTTCATATCCATCCCCAAGTCACATCATGCTCCCCTGTGTCCCCTGGCCAAACCTCAAGTCACATGCTGGATTTATGTCCTCCTCTTAGCTACAGGACATATTGCTCCTGTCACCAAAAATGCCTTTCCTCTTTGTTCTGTTTGTGCCACACATGCTGAGCTCAAATCCAGCAATGCAGTGAGTCTTCTGCCTCTCTAAACACCTACGGTAGTCTCAATCCACCTGCTAGTATTCTGCAGTGGCTAAGAGCATGTATTCTAGAGGCAGTCCCCACAGATTGAGATCCTGCTTCTGTATGTCCTGGCTATATGGCTTTAGGCCACTAAACTTTCTAGGTCTCAGTTTGCTCTCTTTATGCAGGGATGGTTACAGCGTGGAGTCATAGATAAACCCTTAGGATAGTGTCTTCTGATCTAGAGGGTCAGTGACGATGATGATCATCAGACTCTCACTAACTGTGTGGAAATCTGGGATCTCCAACTACATTGCAAGTCCCTTGCCATGCAGTCCCTTGCATGTTTCCTCCTCCGGTGTCTCCTGTCCACATTAGCACACAGCAGGGAATCATACAGGTGCCATACGCATTGAATGGAGAGGAATATGGTTTCGAGATATAGGTACTTACATTCACAGCGTAACACCAAACAATAAAGCCCCTTAGATGCTGGCATCCAGTTTGTCCCCCACAAAGGCTCACTGTGTTGAAGATATGGCTGCTGATGGGGCTTTTTGGCAGTTATTGGATCTAATGGATTAATTCACTGAGTATGGTCTTGAGGACTTTATCTAATCCCTACCTCGTTTTCTCTGGCTCAGCTCTCACAGTCTTCCTCTTTCCCTCTCTCCCGCTCTCTCCCCTCCTTTCTATCCTCCATCTCTCTGTCCCCACCCTTCCTGGCTGCCAAGAGGTAAGAAGCTTTCCTCTGTCACACTCTTCTGCCATGATGTTTCTGCCTCCCCATAGACCCAGCAACGATGGAGCCTGCTGACCGGCTGAAACCTCTGAACCTGTGAGCCCAAATAAAATTTTCTTCCTCTAAGTTTACTTTCCAAGCTATTTTGTCACAGTGACGCACAAAAAAGCTGACTTTCCTATCTCCACTGTCCAGACTTGGAACATACAGAACATCCTTCTGTATCAGATTGTTTGCCTGTGACTTTAAAGCTGAGCACCCCGTGATCACTGGTGATGAGAATCCCGGCTGCCCCAGGACCCCCAAACCAGCTACACTAGAAGCCTCATTCCACCTGTGTGCATGTGTTTGTGGTGGAACAACTGAAGAGTCCCCTATAGACATTATTCCTTTCACTTGCCCAAGACCTGTTCAATTGTCATTGCCTTTGACCTTGACACCATTTCTGAAGGCACAGGCAAGCTTTACCATCTTCTAGGGTGGGTGTTAGTACTAAGGCCTGGAGAGTTGGATGAGTAGCTCATCTTCCAGTAACAGTGGCCCATCAGGGATGAAGGGATGAAGCCTTGCCCTTGAGGTAAGGCTGCTCTCCCTTCTGTCTGACCCTCCCCTCCAGGGCAGCCTGCGGGGCCAGCTACCTCTACAATGAAGCGGGAGGCAGATTTTCTTTCAAAGAACAGCTTCTGCTCCCTCTTGTTGGTGCACAGGAACTTCTCCCGAGTGCACACGGCGTCACAGCCATAGATGACAATGAAGATGTTGGCATCTGTTCCGGCAGCAAAGACATCACTTGTGTAGAGGATGATCTCATAAGGCACAACTGAGGAGGGCAGCCAGAAGTCAAGGTCAGAGGGGATGAAGAAACAGAAGACAAACCCAAGTGAGATCAAGTTCTTTACCAGCACATCTGCCCAGACCCTTCCCCTGGTACACTGCTGCCTATGAACTTGAACCTTCCTAGGCCACTACAGATGGGATCCTATCATGCTTAATGCCCATTGAAAACCCCTAATCCCTCAGACAACAACCTTCCCATGGCACAGTGCTGGTACAATAGACTGGCTTAAGGCACAGGATTTAGAATTTGACAAATTCAAGCTTGATCTGGCCCTAGATTATCATTGTTACCTGGGTAAGTTACTTATGGGTCTTCGATTCCATTGTTTGTAGAGTGTTGTCAAAGTGGTGCTTGGCTGGACATTAGTTAACCAGAAGCGTTAGGTTTCAGGGGAAGCTCACCAGTAAGATATGTAGTGGTAAAAGCCTTTGTCCTCTCTCCACCCTGATCCCAGTCCCTCACTTGGTTTGCCCTTCCCAGCCCATCCATGCATGTCTGGCCTTCATTCAGGCCCTGTCATTTTAAAGAGGCTCCTTCAGGGGAGGGGGCAGGAGGAGGTGAGGGATGCAGCAGTTTGCTCAGGACCCCCACTCCAGGACTGTCTGTCCTTAAAAGAGGTGACCCGTCTATGCTATTGGCACCAGCACACAGAGAGGCCATCAAGTTCCCCCAAGTGTGATCTGGGGATCTTTTCCTTCAGGAACTCTTGAGGAGCTACGGAGCTGCAAACCACTCCTATTTGCCTACTGGGGGGTTTGAAAACAGTTGTCTAAAACAACATGTTGCCAACTACTGATTGAGATTCATTAGCAGATTGTGAGGTAAGAAGGGAAGTATCAGTGTACCTCAGAAGGGATCAGGGTAAACTTTTGTTTATTACATATACGTGCATGCATGCATGCATGCGTGTGTGTGTGTGTGTGTGTGTGTGTGTGTGTGTGACTTATTCTGGCAGGAAGAAGGCATACAAGGACGTAAGAAGGCAATGAAGCTTCAGAGGAATAGTTCAAGGAAGTCTCCCCTAGTCTGTGACCTTGACCATTAAAAGGAGTCACATTGGGAGCTTCCTCCTCTTTGGTGAGCCCACCCTTTTCTAGATGAGGAATTTGCTTTTTGTCTATCATTAGGAGTATTTCCCCTATAGCACTGCAGTGACAATACTTGTAGTCGTAAAAGCTATCACTTGCTGAGCACTACATGCCAGATTCTACACTCAGCATCCTGTGGTCTTTATCTTTTTTCACCCTTGCTATGAGCCCCTGAAGCAGGCATTCTTATACCCATTTTATTCTATGAGAAAACCAAGGCACAGAGAGAAGTAACTTGCCCAAGATCATTTAATGGAATGTGAACTTGAACCCAACCTGTCTGATCTCAGAGCTCGTTAGTCTACCTCTAGAGGAAACTGGAAAGAAGTACTACTGCCAACCACAAGCCACAGGGAGGCGTGTCCCACAGAGGGTGTCCCTCACCTGAAAAGGTCCCAACATCCAGGCAGCTGAGATACAGAAGTCTCAGCCCCGCCAGGCCCTTGAGCAATAGCAGAGGTGCCCTTTGCAGTGGGCCACTCTTCCCTAAAGGTTGCTCCCCAGCCCAAGGCTGCAAGGCCTGAGGGACACATTGGTGACAGGATTTAACTTTCTTGAGACTGCACCAATGAATGCCTTGGGCATTTCTGAGTTGAAACGGCCCACCCTGTGCCCTCTTTGCTCCTGCCCTGGGCCCGGAGTTGGCTCCTGATTTCTAGTCCTGCTTTTGCCAGTGGTAGCTGTGTGTCCTTGGGTCTCCATTTTTTTTTTTAACCTGTAAAGCAAAGAGGTTTAACTAAATCATGGTTCCAGTTTGTTTACCTGCAGGATTCCTGTAAATACATGTGTTTGGAATGTTCAGAAAGAAACAGCGTTTTAAAGGTGAGGAGCTGCTCTGGGTGTATGGGGGTGCTTTTCCCTCTTAGGCTTTCTCCTCTCCTGCCAGCTGTTCTGAACCATCTTTCCTAGTATGGCCCTTCAGACCATATTGCAGCAGAAGGTCCCTATCAGCTTGGAAATGGCAGAACTGTGACATTCAGAGCCATCTGCAGTGCCCCACGTCCTCCTGCACATGCAATTAAAGACCATCCTGATGATCCTTTCCAGATACACTGGTGAATCCTGTGTGCTTGCAGCAGCGCTCAGCCAATGAGCAGCTCTCAGTCTACTCTTTCTGGTTCCATGTTATTGGACAGCCTAGCTTCCAGATGCTTTCTAGTCCCCTGACTGGAATATCTGGCACTGTTTCCTGGGACCAAAGCGCCCTGGTTTCCTACAACACCCGTGAGACTTTCTCTAGAATTAGGTTCTGAACAGCAGAACCTCTCTGCTCCCACCTCTCTCCTCTGCTCTCTGGAGAGAGCTACATGTTTAGGCTGCATCTCAGATCTTCAGACTGAAAGTCATGTGTTTCCTGAACAGTTTCTCCTCACCCTGTCTCCCTTTTTTCCTCACTCCTTGCTTTTTATTTTTAGCAACTGAGAGTCTAAGATAAGGGCCAAAAGGATAGCTTTAATATTAGGTTAGAACTGAACACAATCAGCCTTCTGTCTTCATGGATTCAACCAAGCATATACCAAAAATATTCAAAAAATTATGTCTGATTAATCATGTATAGACTTTTTTGGTCATCATTCCAGAAAAAATATAACAACTGTTTACATAGCATGTACATAGGTTTATAAGCTACATAGAGATGATTTAATGATGTGTGTAGGCTTTGTTATGCTGTTTCGTACAAGGAACCTGCGGACAGTGTATCCCTGGGAGTCCTGGAACCTTTCCAGAGCCAGGGACACTGAGAGGTGACTATAGATGCAAAGTCAAGCCATACAAGCTTAAACTCTTGGTGAGTTACAGAGTAAGGCCTGTTGTGGGACACAAAGGGAGACAGATACTTATTTCTGCCTTCCAGCATGCCACTCGATCCCTGTGTGACCTTGTTCATCCTGAATCTATCCTGAGCCGGCTCTTGGAGGCAGGAGATAGGTTCAAGATTTGCTTTGTAGTTTTGATCAGTTTTATACTATTTTGTTTTGTTTTGCTTGAATTCATTGTATGTGAAGAAACAGACAACTATTTTGAAGAAAACAAGAGACATTATGGTAGCCACTGTTGATTCTTGTTGTCTTGCTTTGAAATCCTGTGTCACTTGCATTTTTCTGATCTGCTTTGTTCTGTTTTGTTTTATTTTCTTTTTAAAAAAGTAAAAAAAAATTGCTTTGTATATGCTAGGCCAGTGACTTCACCTAGGGAACTGTCACTTTATTTTAGACTTGGACCATAAAGTATTTTGATGATCTGTTAATGTCCACTTTAATTATTGATTTATATTGCTAGAATATGAGTTACTAAGGGAAAATATTTTAATTGTTCATAATTTAGCTAGAAAGATTATATGTGCTGAGTTCAGATTTAAACAAATTCAGATTTTTTTTTTTTGGTACCAGGGATCGAACTCATGACCTCACACTTGCCAGGCAGGCGTTTATGCCACTGAGCTAAATCCCTGGCAAATTCAGGTACATTTTTACATTTTGGTTGATGTAAGTTTGATTCCTATTTCCTAAGAAGCATTTACATATTTATAAATGTTTTATATATATATATTCAAATGACACCAGTAAAGGGCAAGTATCCACACTTAACCAAATTATTCATCTTGCTCCTCTCCTTTATCCAATACATGAAATTACAGTTATCTTCTTTTTGAGTTCTCCATCCACCCAACAGCAATCTGAGTGGAATTTTTAATGCCTGGAGTAAGGACTGGTAATGAGGTCTATCAAGATTCCTCAGTTAGACCTTTTCTTTTTATCCTGTACTGGAAATTGAATCCAGAGCTTTCACACTGAGTTACATCCTCAGCCCTTTTACATTTTTTAAATTTTGAGAAAGGATCTTGCTAAGTTGCCCGGGGGGGGGGGTTGAATTTGCATCTTTTTGCTTTAGCCTCCCAGAGTTCTGGGATTACAAGTGTGCACCATCTTACCCAGCTAAATCGTTCTTTTCTGACATTGCACCACACTGCATTATTATCTCTCTTTTTCAAGTGAGGAAACTGAACCCTACAGAGATAAGGCTGTCTACATGCTATCTGTAGATATTTTGGAGTAGGGTTTGGGATAAATACTGCATTTTCTTTCCCTGGCTTCAGGGCTATGCCCACCACTCCCCATTCCTTTCCTTACCTGCCACCCCAAGCTTAGGAAATTTGGTGAACAAACAAGAGAACCAAATCTCCAAAGTGTGCCCTTCACAGAGTCAAGTCTGGATAAGGAACTGGGGTGGCAGGTGATAAAATTCTGAGGAGGACCACATTTGTCATGCAAGGTTCCTACATGGTGTGTATCGCCTTGTCTGAAGCTCTGCGTGGAAGAGGTCCCTGATGATCGCCCCATCGTCTTCATTCTTGGCCAGCCAGCGGCCACAGGGAAATGTCATGCACTTTCCAAGAGATGGGGCATCCACCTCCACCCAGTCTACAAACCAGCCCGGAGCCTTCCCTGGAGAGAGAGGAGACACAGAATCTATTAAGATTTGTGCAGAGATGGTTTCCTGTGAGTGACTACAATGACTCCAAACATCCTTCCCTACTGAATGACTGACACCTAGACCTCCAACATTCATGGGTCATCCTTTTGCTGACAGCATTACTAAGAGGATTCCTGTTGAAACGTGCACACAGCTGAAGCCGGATTGCAGTCCAGGCTCTGGCAGTGAAATCAGGAACAATGAGGGAACACAGTACGGGAATGAAGAAGGGGATGGAGAGTCTGAAAGGGGGAAGGTGAGGATGTTATCCAGAATGCAGACTCCAAACAGTACACCCAAGACAGCCAGTGTCCACAAAGGTGTTATGGTTTCACTCAATGGCAGGGATACATGCACCACTCCCTGGGTGATTGTGGTGGATGAAGCAGGTAAATGAACAGGAGAGGGAGAATCCTCCCTACAAAAGTCATGCTTAAATTGAAAGGAAAAAAGTGGAAGCCAGGCACAGAACCCTTTCCCCGCAGTCCTGACAATCCTGGGTTCTAGGACACAGGTCTCTTCCTTAAATTTAGAAAAAGATGCTTTTAGGGCCAAGAAAAAGAATCCTACTTTACTCAAGAGGACAAATGTGGGTCCACCCTCTGTCTTGCTTCAGTGTCAATGGTCATAATATTCTGGCTAGATCATTGGCTTTCAAAGTGGCCTAAATCAGTGGCCTCTGTATGATCCAGGGACTTGGGAGACTTGCACATTCTCAGTCACCACCCCGGTCTGCTACATCAAAGTCTCTAGGGTTGAGGCCCAGAAATCTACATTTTAATACCCCACCCACCTCCAAGTGATTCCGATGCACAGTCAAGTTAGAGGGCCACTGAGGCAGCTTAGAGATTTTCAAATCTGGCTGCACATTAAAATTGAGTTTGGGGGCGTGTTTACACTTTAAAAATCACCAGAGCTCAGACCAGTTTGACCAGATTCTCTGTGTGTAGCCAGTCAAGACAGACTGAGAATCTATGTTGAGGAAGGGAGATGGCATCCAATCCCAAACGTCTTTCCCGGAGGTCCCCGGGACCTGTCCATGGTCCTTACGGTTGTAGCCCAGTAAAGAGCAGAGGGAAACCGACCTGAGTTGTCATGGCCGATTCTGACTTTCCACAGATCCCCCAGCTCCAGCGTCTCCACCGTGAAGATTTCAATACTGTCCCTTTCAAATTTGTCACTGTTTGTCTTGGAGGACTTCATGAGGGTTATTCCTGTCAACCAGATGATCCCAACATGACTGACCGGCCCTGAGAGCTCTCTAACCTGGTCTAACCCATCCCTTTTCAAATCAAACTGAGATGATGCAGTTACCATCCACAATGTATTGGACTTGTGTACATGTGTTCTTTTATTGAACTTACACTAATTCTTTAGGGTATGCATTTTTATTTTCAGTTCATATATAAGGAGAGGCCTTATTCAAGATCACCCAGGAGAAGGCGGTGAGGCTCTAAGTGAGCATGTGATCCCTTTTCATGACCCTCACAGTTCTCTACCTAAGGAAGGAGTAGATGACAAAGCCACCCTCCTTACCCAAACAGGGCACCTGTGGAGATGGGACATGTTAGAATTCTCAGAACAATCTTATCTGGATGTCAAAGGGAGAGATGCTTCAAGGGCCTCCTTCTAGTCAGTTCACATATGGAATCTTTCCTGGGACTCCTGTGAGAGTCTGAGCTTCAAGGTGGCTTGAGAAGCAGTACTATTCCTTATTGCCTCTTCTAGCACTGTCTCCTTATCCCTCCAGGTCCCACCTTTGGTGCCACCCCATGTAGAGAGGCTCTTGACATTTACAGGCCCATTAAAGTCTGGCTTAAGAGTACAGAGAGGTAGACAGACTTTGGCCCAGCACTACCTGACTCTGCCTCTTACCATCTGTGTGGACTTGGGCAAGTTAGTTAATATCCCTGAGACTTGGATTCCTTAGATGTTAAGAAGAGGTAGTCTGGGCGCCTTCCCTGCTGAGTTACTGAAAAAACTTAAGAAGGTGTTGAGTGATCAAGAATGTGTCCAATATATAGAAAGCCAGTGGCAAATAACTGTTAAGGCTTATCAATTCCTTTGACTGTTGTTCAGAATCTACAGCCATATTATCTTGAATGTGCCTGATCTCATCTGACTATGGTTCAGGAGCCATCATAATCCAGCTCTATTTATAAGCTATGACATAACTATTTCATTATATGCCATTTGCTTAATATAAACTATAAATAATAGTGATTAATGTTTATTGAGTGCCACTTTGACCAAATACTATATTTTACATGTTCAATTTCATTAAAGCTCTAACTCTATGAGGCACACAAGAGTTTTATATCTACTTTACAAATAGGAGAAACTAAAGCATAGAAGGGTTAAGCAACTTGCCCAAGGTCATGCAATTAATGGTGAAGTGGAAATTTGAATCAGGCCTATGCTCTCTACTCATGCACCATAGTATTAGAATAGATCTAATCAAAGGCCAGGAACTGTTAGATCCATTCATTCTTATGCTTGGCAAAGGGCTCTGATCTTGCAGGTTTTTGAGCTAATTTGTGCAGTCTACTTGAAGGGCTGACTCTCCTTTACACTCAGACAGAATGACTGGATGGGACATGAGTGGATGTGACCCCATCATTAAATGCCACATTCTCTGAGTTCCTGCAGAGAACCAAGAACAATACTAAGAGCCCCTAGAGGAGCATGGGGCTCATGAGTGAATGTTACTGGTGGTTGGAGAAGACAGCCTTTCCCAGGTTATTATGAGGATAAAGTCAGAGCGAGGGCTATCTTCTTCCATCAGGACAGGAGGAGAAAGTGGGCACAGAGGAGAAGGGATCTTTCAGAACAAAAGAAACTGTCTTTCTCTGCTGAGGTTAAGTATCCACAATCTTTCAGGAGATGGAAGCTGATTGTGGATGTCTTGGGGCACTTCTGTTCAGTGTGCTTGTCCACCTAGGAGGAAAGTGAGTGAACCTTGACCCTGCATCACTTTCTTACCAGTGTCATCTTGCGTGCCAAAGAGTGTGATGAAGACGTTGGCATCTGTGCCTGCATTCTTCTTGTCCCCAGTCTTTATGGTTACTGAGAATGTGGTCAATTTATCTGTTAGGAGGAGATGTGAAGATGATATGGAAAAGAGAGCCATAGAAATCCATGAAGGGGGCTGGGGATTTAGCTCAGTGCCACAAGCACTTGCCTGGCAAGCGTGAGGTTGTGAGTTCAATCCCTAGTACAAAAAAAATAAAGAAAGAAAGAAAAAGAAAATCGATGAAAGGAGGAGGGAGGGGGGGTACATCTTCTGGAAGGGCTTCCTCTGTTCATCTGCTTTGGCTCTATCTCTCCAACAGTTCCTTTGCTCTTTCTATACCTGGGATCCCTGTGGTCATAATGAGTATGTTTCTGTGTTCACACTGGCTATTTGTTTGAATCACTTTACTGGCAGTGTATATTGTTCTGCAGTTATATTTAATCTGAAGACTTCCAGAGAGTGGAAATGATGTCCCCTGATCTTGGTTCACACAGGAATCTCTCAATCAATAGATTAAATAATAATCATTAAATAATAATGATAATAGATTAATCAATAGATTAAAACAGTGAGGAAGTAGGTGAGTCAACTGTGAGAGCCAGAGGTCAATCAAAAGCTCTGGTCTGACTCCTTCAGGCTAGGAGGAGTTTTATGGGTGCAAGTTTCAAGGAAGGGAGTACAGGAATCATTGGACTCCTGCATGAGGATCCTAGAGTGTGTCTGGAGGGAATAACAAAAAGATATTCGGAACTGGCTGCAATAGATTCACCCTGAGCCATTTTCCTTGAAGCAAGTCTTGTTCTAGACATATAGGAACATGTTCCCACTCCAACTTCTGCATTCTTGACATGGAGAAGGGACACTGTCAGAGGAGGTGCCCAGAACCCAGAGGGAGGAAAGGAAGATGGAGGAGAGAAGGTGGGGAAGAAATATGCTCTAGTTTTAGAAACCTTTCTGCTCCAGGGCCAGGTTGTCAAGGGGGTTATTGTCACCATGTCCTCCACTCTCCTCATCCTCACTGGGAAATATATAGGACTCATCCACTGGCAACAGCTCCCTGGACAGTTGGCCATCATCCTCTTCCACTGCTAGCCAGCGTTGGCACGGGAAGTAATACCTGTGAAGTAGAGGCAGAAAGTTTTGGAAAGGTCTCACACAGGAGCAGTCACAGGCCAGAAAGGAGGGTGCACTTCATGGAACTCAAATGCTTCCTTGTCTGTCCTCCACTGGATCATCCTTCCATATTACTCAGCCTACGAATTAACCCATGAGTCACTTGCCTGGGGTAGAAAATAAACATAGGGACATTGTCTTCAGATGCCCCACTGGAGATGATAGTACATGACCCTCAGTCAGGGTTATTTTGGGTGGAAGGATCTAAAAGAGGAAGCTATAGGGCTTGTTCTTGCAATTTCTGGAACCAATCTATTAGCCACAAATACTTCATCAGAGAGTTGTACATAGCAGATGCCCCAGACATGCATACTGAGTAAATAGATTTTGATGGAGTGAATCAATTGTGTTTTCAGAGGGTACAAAGAACATGGCTAAGGAGCTAAAATGGTGACAGTTGGGCCCTCTAGGGAAGGGATGTCCAGTTCTTCATCTCCGTGGAGAAGGATGGTCAGTGTGATGGAGTGCCTGGGCTGAAGGAAGGTGGGGCCAAGACAAGAGATGCAGTAGAGGGGGCAACTAAGAACTCACCCCTGAAGTCAGGTTGTCTTGGTCTAAATCCTGGCTCTTCCATTAACTCTTGTGTGACCTTGAACAAATCCCTTCACCTCTCTATGCCAAGGTCCAGATTTAGTCTGTAGCATGAGAAGACTGCCATTTATCTTTGGGTTTTAAGTAATGAGTCATGTTTGCATGTATGTCCTACCTACTCTTTGGACATACTTCTGTGGGTAAAGGTGGGTTCTCAGTAAGAATTTGCTTATGCTGTTGTCATATTGTTATTATTTTCCTTTCTTTCCTTTCAGCCTTGTCTGGGCTCTCTGAAGGCTACAGGCTAGGTAGCTTTCCTCTAGTTTCTGAACTCCACAATAGCTCAGAGCATCTGGTACTGCAGTCTATCTCTCAAGACAGGGTTACTGCACCCTGTTTGTATCTCCTCCCCTCCTTTGCCCTGATGGATAAAGTCTATTCAGGGGTTTATCCAAGTCTGGGAAGGGGCTGGATTCGAAAGGCCTTGCTTCTTTCTGGTCCCTATGTTCTCCTATGGTCCTTGGTACCTCCAAATGTCATCATGTCAGAGGAACAAAGCATTCCTGAGCTTGAATGGTAGGGAGTGGGTAATTTTATGCTGATAGGCAATGATTTGAAGGTCAGGAGGCTCTCAACCCAGGGTGATGTAAGTTAAATGCCAATTAAACTAGTGTTTTTATGTAAAATGTTAAATGCATACTGTTCCATTTCTCAGTCTTTAAATATTTGAATGGGAAAGTTAACATTTTATTCAATCAAATACAGTAACTTAGGAATAATAGGCTACAGTTCTAAATCATGACCCCTTAATGGGAGAGAAAGGAAGGGGTGGATCAGGGCAAAGACAGAGACAATGAGAGTAGGAAGTCAGTGAGGACAAGGATGGAGAGACGGGGGAACATAAAGAAAGAGCCCAGCAGGTTACCCAGGGAGAGAGAGAACAAAGTCAGAGAGACAGAATGAAGAGCACAAGGCCTCTCATGCTCCATGTGTGAATGCAAGCAGAGAAGCCGAGCCTGGCTCCCGTGGTGCCTGAGCATCATTATCCTCTCCACATCAGCAGCAAGGCATTGAAGGCCCTTAGCACACACACAGCTGCAGCCCAAGCCAGCAGATCTCATCTTGAATTTGCTGCCTAGACAGAGTTGCAGCTGAGCTGTGGCTGGGAGCTGGACATTTAGACTTCTTGTGTCCTAGGCATAACCAACACACTTAGAGGGCAGGAGGAGTCTGGGCCTGCTGACTCCTTCCTGTCCCACACTCCTTCCTGAATAAGTCCCCTCAGGCATCTTTCTGGACCCAGAGAAGGAGGAGGTAGAAGATTTAAGGAACAAAGAGAAGGAGATGTGTGCAGGTGATCTGGACCAGATTTGCATCAAGTTGCTTAATAAGGACAGAAAAGGAAAAAGCAAGGACCTGAGTGAGCAAAAACTTCAAATCAGGTGTCAGACCGAAGCTTGGGATCATTAAAAAAAATCTCATTTGCAAGTGAAAGTTGAATGAGGAAATTGCAAAGCTGAGTGTTACAAAATTTAAGTCATTTCATATGCAGTTTCTCACTTTGTGTACAAGCTAAAGGCAGGACAACATCAAGTATAAATGAGCTGGTGCCAAGAACAAGCATCTGGAACTCACGTACTTTAGGTCTGTGTCTACTCTGCCAGGTTCTCTTCTAGGTCCTGAGAAGCACACGGCAGTGTCAGCAGAGAGGAAGTCATTACTTACACATTTTGTGCAGGGAGGTGAGCAAGGGCCCACCACACCAGTTTACTGGAGGTCAGATGACAAGTGACACAGAGAAAAAGAGGGGACGGGCAGCATCCTGACCTCACTGAGAAGACGACATCTGCAGAGATCCATCTAAAAATGCACAAAGGTGAGTCACAAGGGAAAGCAGTGCCAGGAAGAGGCACAGGAAATGCAAAGGCCTGGTGGTGGGTCCATGCTTGTAGGGCTCAAGGAACAGCGGGAGATGAAGAAGGACCAGGAAAGAGACGTAGGAGGGGGTGTGGGGCTGACCCCACAGGTCAGGGAGGCTTCTGAAAGGCACTGGACCTTCCTGTGAGTGAAACAGAACTTCTTCATGTGTTTAAGCAGAGATGTGACATGATCCTGGTCAGTAAGAGAGTCTGCAGGAAACAGAGCGAGCAGTCAGGAGGCTTTAAAGGGGGAATGGAGGGTGAAGATGGGATCCAATTCGTGTTCTCCTTTGGAAAGAGCCAACATGCCCAGCCAATGGGTTGGGAGTGGCAAGGAGGAGTCAAGCATGTCCAGGGTGCATGTAGGCTGGTGATTTGGTTCAGGGCAGTTGTAACATGTCAGTGTCTATAACCCTCTCGGCTGCAAAACCCTTCTTCCTGAGCTACAAAGGTTGGGAGAGCCTGGAGACCTGCATAGTGTAGGGAAAAGCAGTGTCAAAGAGAGACAGAGACAGACAGAGAGACAGACAGACTCACTATTGTGATTGTTTCTTTTGAACGTCTGCAGTTTCTTTTCTATCTCCCATAGTGGGAAATAGACTTGCTCTGACTTGCTCTTGGGGTGAAGGTTGTTGAAGCCAGCTCATCACAGAGTCCTTAGTCAGACAGGATTTATTAAAAGAGTGTTAACTAGTGACACAGGAAAGAATGGGAAGGAAGAGGAGGAGGTGCAGAAAGGAAGGAAGGTGGAAGACAGTGAAGGAAGGTGGAGGCAGGGAGGAAGGGTGGAAAGAAAGGGCCCAAAGAAAGAAAAAGATTTCATTCACAAAGGTGGCAAAAATTGTATCAGGCATAAACTTAACAAAAAAGCTGAGTGCAGAATTGTAAAGCATTACTGAAAGTCATAAAGGAACAGTTGGATAAGTGGAAAAATGTACCTGGAGGTGGCACTTAATATTCTAACTATGCAATTCTTCACACATATATTTAATGGCAGAACAATCAAAATTCCAGCCAGATCTTTTTTCAAATCACTTACTGCCTTGATTTGAAAAAGGTAAGAATGGGAAATATTTTAAAATAATAATGAAAGAGGACAAATACTGCCAGATATTTAAATATATTACAAGGCTACAATAATTTTTAAATTGTTGGGTTGGACCAGAAATGTCAAATGGATGGAACAGAAGAACCCTGGAAGAACCATAAGGGGAAGCAAGGGATGTTCCCAGTTTGTTTTAAGACTATGGGTTAGCAGCCCTTTATGTTTCTCTAGTTTAAATGCCTTAGGGTTTCAGAACTCCATGCGTGAATGCATGTGTGTTACTAGAGGTTGAACTTAGGGCCTTCTCACCAGGCTATATACCCAGTTCTTTTTTATTTTGAGACAGGGCCTCACTAAGTTGCTAAATTGCCCAGGCTGGGTTTGAATTTGTAATCCTCCTGCCTCAGCCTTCCGGAGTGCTGGGATTACAGGTGTGCACTACCACAGCCAGCCAGGACATTTTGAGAAGTAAGCTGCCCTGGCATCACTAAGGACATTTATGAGAAGAGGAAATGAAGGCCATACTTACGAAGCTTCTTGTCCATGCTAACCTGAAATTTTCTGGCAGAGATGAGACTCTGGCCAAGGCCCTGGTTCCCAGCTACGGGATTGTCTTATGGCTCCTGTGAGCTACCACCATGACTTCATGGAAACTGTAACACTGGGTCATCTGTGAACTGGGCCTGTGTCCCCTTGGGATGAGGGGACAAAATGAGGTGAAAGATGGGGTGAGCCCCATCACCTCTGTCCAGCCTGTGTGCTCCAAGAGACTGCAGGCTTCAGGGCAGGAAGTGATTTTAATTTAACAAACATTCATTATGTGTCCACTAAATGTTAGGTACTGGCAGGCCCCCATCAGTCCCAACACCCTATCAGTAACTTACAGACTTTTCTCTGCCCCCTCTTACTCATACAAAGGGGCCTTCTTTCACCTTATTGCCCTGGGACCCTCTCACCCAAGAGGCTGTGTGGTCTAATGGTAAGAAACATAGCAAAGACACAGTTTGACCTGCTCAGATTCATTGGCTTTGAGGCTGGCCAGGTTTTTCACTTCTCCCAGGCAGAGCTCCTTTATCAGGGAAAGACCTATGACTGTTTCCAGGCCAGCTCAGGTGGTGGCTGTGTCTCTAGCAGGCCCACTATCTACTTAAGTACATCTCACAAGCTGAGCATGGGTTTTGCATTTTATGGTTGCGGGGGGGGGGGAGGCTAACAAAGGGTAATAGTTTGTGTGGTGACATTTATAAGAAATTCAAATTTCTGCATCAATTTTTTTTGAGATACAGTCATATGCACCTCCCCCATACCCCACCACTTAGATATCATCTGTGCTCAGTCAGTAGAGAGGTTGCTGGCAAGAACAAATGGCCCACAAAGCCAGAAATATGTTCTATGTGGCCTTTACAGGAAAGGCTGCTAAGCCCTGGCCTAGAACCTCAAAACAAGGTGCTGGGAAGTTGCTTGCTCCAAGGAGAGTCCCTGGGTGAGTGAAGCCTGGTCATAGAGATTAGGCCAGGATAGGAGTGATAGGAACTGATTCTTACCTCTTGGAATGGGTGGTCAAGAGCTACTAGAGTAGATGTACTACCAGATTGTCAACTGACAGGGCAAGCTACTCTGGGAGGATGCACAGTGGAGGGGGAACAGGCAATGCCCATTTGACCTACTGCATGAGCAAACTCATCCTGGTAGCTGGGACAGATGTCACAGTCAACCCACCCTTGCCCTTTACCCATCCTCAGTGTCTATTCTAGGACAATATTAGTGGCAGGCAAGGCCTTCTCCACCCCTCCAGCCACACTCACGTGGTCTCACTGTTCATGTCGGTGATGTCTATTCTGTCCAGGAACCAGCCTGGTCTGTTGCCTGTATTGTCATGGCGAATACGTATCTTGGTCAGAGCTCCCAGGTCAATAGCATAGATGGTGAAGGTGTCTGTCTAGGAAGAGGGAGAGTAGTACTCAGAGGGGTGAGACCCATTCTCTCCTTCCCTTGCCATCAGCTCCACTCTCCAAGGACCTGGGCACCCAGAGGTGGAAAATAAGGCCCCAAACTACAGGCTTGGGGATGATGGACAGTGTCTCATGGGTCTGGTGTTTGTCCTGTGCTATTTTTTTTCAAGCTATCTCTGCCATGGTACCTTCTCAACTTCATTGTTTCCAGGAAGGTAGAGGCAGAGGTGAGAGGCAGAGGTGAGACAGTTTGCAGTTGTGAGGTATGCGTGTGTGTGTGTGTGTGTGTGTGTGTGTGCATGCGTGTGCGTGTGTTGACGGGAAGGTGCACTGAGACCATAGGCTTGTGTGTGGGCATGTAGATCATCTCCTTCAATCGCAAATTTTGTTAAGTACTTGTTATGAGCTAATCCTATGCAAACAGAAACAGAAGACTTGAATTTGCTCCCCATGTAGGTGGGAAGCTGGGTGTGACTCATACACATGTATGTGAGTCACCATATGCACTGGAGGAAGCAGACCACACTAGGATCCTAGAAATGGATAGACTTTTCTTGGGAATATATTTTTTGACTCTGCTTTGAAAAAAGGTTTCAAATCTTCTGAAAACTTGCAGAAATACTACTGTACAAGTAGTACAATGAATGCTTTCACACCTTCACTTAGATTTTGTACTTATGCACAATATTTGCTATGCCTCATCCTTATTTGCTACTCTCTCATCCCTCTTTCCTTTCCTCTTCCCTTCCCTCCCTTCCTTTCACCTCCTGGCCCTCCTCTCCTCTTCTTGTTTCTGATTTAGTTCAAAGTAAGTGGCAGATACCATGATCGTGTTTCCCTAAACAATTCAGCATGGATTTTCAAGGAACAAAAACACTCATCTAATCCCTGAGCAGTGATCAAATCAGGAACCTTAACACTCTCAACATCAGTACAACAGTCAACATCAACACAGTATTGACATTCATCACATAATGATGGGGATATGTTCTGAGAAATATGTTGCCAGGTGATATTTGTCATTATGCAAACAAACATCATATAGTGTACTTACACAAGTCAAAATGACTACAATGTTACTAGGTGATGTAATCATATGGGATTACTGTAATATATGTCATTTGTGTTTATTGAACACCATTGTTGTTATGCAACATGTGATTGTAATATCATGTAATATATAGTGCATATTAAAATTTCACCAATTGTATCAGTTTTGTCCATTGCAATAATTTTTTCCCAGCCCAGGAATATAGTTGCTATGGTTTTTAATGGAGAATAATAAAATGAAGATCTCCAAGTCATGTCAAGGAGTTCTGAATGAAAATTTGGGGATTGAGAATACAAAGCAACTAATGTACCTGTAAGTATTTTAAAGGATTTGGTTTATTGTTTTTCTTTCTCTGGGTTGAAGAGAAAACCTGGTTTTGGGATATGCAAAATCTTAAAGGATAGAAACAGCAGTTTTAGTTTTCGTTCTTTTTCCTCTACCTGGAAGAGGGAGGTACATGCATTTATTTCATAGCTTCCTCAGAATGTAGTTAGGTGTTCTCAGCCTGTCACACTTCCACACATTATTGGCCTGACTCAAGCTTAGCCACTGTGAAGCACCAACCGCTGCTCAGGGGAAAACACACTTTTCTCAAACTGGCCTTCCACATTTCCACCTCCACATCTACATTTCTGTGGATCTGTCTTTTGCAAACATCCTTTACCGTTATCTGTACACATACATTATCCACCAAGTCTTCTCCACAATACTATCTTAAAGATAGCCTGCTCAGTGCCTGAGTACCTACTGCGGGATACTACTCTCTAGTTGGTCCCAAGCCTATGGACTCCATGTACTGGAGTATGTCTGTGCTTTTCTCATCCTCCCACGCCCAGAAAGCATTAGTGCTTACAGAAGAGGTACTGCCATCAGACTTAGGAAGACTGAAGGGAGCACCTGGCTAGACACACAGCAGACACCATACTGGGTGGAGCAGTTGTAAGAGGGCATTGTGCTCTGTATCTGGACTCCCCTCCCAACAGACCCAGAGACCAGAGATCACGTACTCTACCTGCCCCTGCTCAAACTTGTTGGACTTGTCTGATTTCTTCAGGGGTCGCTCGCCTGTGTCCCCATACTCCTCACCGTAGATTGTCAGATACACATTGGCATCAGTGCCAGCTTTGGGCACATTCCCTGTGATCACTTGGACCTCGTAGGTATTGGCTAGAGACAAAGAAACATGCAGCATTGAGGGCACAGGGTTGTGAGGTGAACTGAAGCCCAGCTTCACAGATTCATACAGATCCTTGGAGTAGGATTTATCATATATCTACACTAAACTGGCCTGAACTTCCCCCAACCCAAGATGTCTCTTGACCATGCGACCAAGAGCAACATTTGGTCTCAGCAACCCTCCAATCATGTCCACACATTTAGTTATAAGGAATTGTATCAGGGCTCCTCCCAGAGTCACTGGTTCCTCCCGAGGACAAGGTAACGTTTAGCCTCAAATAGAACTCTCTGGCAGGTCTTCAGATACCAGTCAAGAGAGCTAGTTGGGAACCACAATGAGTTTCCACCTATGTGGCCTTCATGTGAAGGAAATGGAGTTACCCTTGCCCCTCCCTGGTCCCTTTAGGGGACACCTGGCCCCTCCTCAGGCTTACGCTCAGGACCCGGCCGGCCTGCTGGCACCAGCTCCACGACAAGCTCATTGTCCTCCTTGCCCCGGGCCAGCCAGCGGTGGACTTCGAACTTGTATTGCTCAATCACTTCCTGCATCCCTGGCCCAAACTCTTCCTCTTCCTCCTCCTCCTCAGTCTCTTCCTCTTCCTCCTCTTCAGACGAGGACTCTTCCGACGAGGACTCCTCTTCCTCACCCTCGTCCTCCTCATCGCTGCCCTTCTTCTTTTTCTTCTTTTTCCTCTGCAGCTTTGCCTTCAGTCGCTCCTTCTTGAGCACCTGCCGCAGTTTGTCCTTTTCCTTCTTCCTCCGGGCCTCTTCCTCAGGTGTCAGGTCCTCCTCTTGCACCACCAGGTGCCGCAGCCATACCATATCCACAAACCAGCTGGGCCCAAAGCCATCTCCTGTGTGCCACAGCCGAATCTTGTAGATTTCGCCCACATCCACCGCCTCCAGCTGGGCAAAGTGCAGGGAAGCGGTTGGGGTCGTTCCTGGTGTCCTCCCTGCCTCCCCAACAGAACCAGGCCCAGAGCCTGGTGCTGGGCTGCAGCCCAGGGACAGAGGCCTCTATGCTTAGCAGCCGCTCCTGGCTCCCTCTCTCCGACCATACCCACTCCCTCAACCTGCCCGCCCCCCAAATATGTTTCTTTCTAACCACTATCATGGTAAAGATGTTTCTGTCTTCTTGATCACATGTGCATGCGCGCGCGCACACACACACACACACACACACACAGGGCACTCATTCCTAGATTCCTAGTTCCATGTCTTCACTCTCACAGTTCCCTCACCTGCCTGCCTCTATTCCCTCCTTACCTCTAAGGTCCATTCAAAGCTGTCCATTTAGTCCTCTACTTTACTATTATTATGATTTTAAAATTTGTGCTTTTTTGTGGTCTTACTCCAAACTTTTTTGGTATCAAGCATATATGACCATATATGAATGCTTTAAAAAGTGTTCTTTTTAAAAAAAAATATCTTACTCATGCCCCTAGAAGCCCCAGGTCCTTCCTAACACATGGCTTGTTTATCTGGTTGTCTTCTCCTTAATCATTCAGTAGGGGCCCAAAACTTGGCTCTGGTCCTGGCCTACCCTGGATACCCTCTTTGTCCTCTCAAACTTAAGAGAACATAATTTTGCATCTCTCCCTACTTGTCAGGGCTTGAAAGGTAGTGTGTTGGGTCCTCAGCCCCAGACCATACTGTTACTCTACCCTGGATGCCACACTGTCAGGCAGGAAGGGCCTGAACTCAGATGAGGTCTGGTTCCTGCAGACCTCCAGGGGAAAGCTCCCATGAGTCCTTGCTAGTGGGGCTCCTGTTAAGCATCCTGATGCTGATGAGCCACTGTTTGTGCCTTTGACCTTCTTAAAACCAGGTCTCACCATGTATCCCTCCTGCATTCCAGGGAAACTGGAGCCCAAGGCTGTCCCATAGATACTCAATGTCCTGTGATTCAATTCCAGACCTACATGAGTATATAGATGTCCTCAACTTAAGTTTATGAATCCACAATGTGGTCAAGACACTTTTGTGAGAAAATTCTCAGTCAAGATAGACATCAGGACCCAGCAAAAGCAGAATTTATCTTCAGCTTTTTGGGAGATGTGTGCTGGACTTGGTAACCCATTAGCTTCCCTCCCTCATATTTCCTGGGTCACAGTACCTCCATAATATCTTTCTCAAAGAAGCCTGCTTGTGACACCACATGCTTGCATCTGTCTGCCTAGCTGGGGCTGCATACACTACACCCAGTGAGCTGGCCTCTGAGAGGTACACTGCTGGGTTGCATCCCCATAACATTCCTGACATTGACTTTTTGGATCATTATAGGGATGGTGAATCAGCCAAGCAAAAGTTAGGTTTTAACCAAAGCTCAGGAAGTCAAATATATGTGGCTTAGCCTTCTCGCCATTTATGAGGGCATTCAACTCAATGAGGCATCATCATTTCTAAAATCCAGACACCTGTGACCCTGGTCTGGTCCCAGTACCAAGAATTTCTCTTCTGGGAGTGAGGTAAGACCCCTTTATTGAAGAATAATGTGCCTGTGGTACATAAACACAAATAGAATAGCCAGCATGAATGTGCTCCCTGCTGATACACACCATGTGCATGCACACATGCATGCTATCATGTCCAAAGTAAAATATGCATGTGCCACTCAAGGAGTACTTCCTTGCATCGTCTTGACTACGAAGAACGTGCTCACATACATATCTATCTTCTTTTGACAAAGAGATTTACAAAAGGAAATAAGGAGGCCTGAGACACTCAGAACATGGTATGAAATTCCACTACTTCTCAGATTCTGCCTACAAAGCATGAGTCACTAACCAGAGAGTGGGTGGAAGGACCCCAGCCTTTGTGACGTCTTGAGTTAAATAAGAATCACCTACTCCAGAAATCTCAGAATTGGCAACATGTTAGTACCACTAGTAGAACTTTAAATGAAAGACATGCCAAAAAATACATCCAACCTTGACAGACTCTGATTTAACTGGTCTCAATGTGGGCCAAGCAGTACCTTTTCTTAAAGTTCCCCAGATAACCTGAACATGAGGTCAAGCATAAAAAGCCCTGTTGTAACCCAATCCTCTCATTTCAAGCCAAAAACTCAGGTACAGTGAGAGGGTGTTACTTTTCAAGTTCACAAGGTAGAAATTGGCCAAAAAACCTGGTGCTTAATCCCAGTTAAAAACTCTTGAAATTGGCCAAAAAACCTGGTGCTTAATCCCAGTTAAAAACTCTACCAGGTCAGCTCTTCTCAAGAACCCTCAGGAAGCCAAGAGAGTCTTTGTCCGACTTGTCCTCAACTGGCTAGAGGACAGTCCATTCTCCAGTGGGTGTTAGCTGATGAAATAAGGGCACCTAGGGAACCATCTTGTTGTCCTATGGGCCCCTGTGGGCACCCTGCTGCCACGCCCCCACACACCTGGAACACATCCTTGGATCCCCGATCAAACACTTTGGAGCGGCTGGAGAGGGAGAGTACTTCGGTCTTGCCTTCTTCACCATAGATCTGCATGTAGACTCTGGCAGTGGTGCCTGCACCACCCACATCCCCAGTCCAGATCTCAACCTCATAGTGGACCACTGTGTGGGCACATGTGAGAGAAATGGGACATTTAGTAATAATGATAATAACAAAACAAATATTTCCAGAGCTCTTCCACATGCCTGGTGCTTCTTGGTCATCATCTTATGTAAGCTTCTCACCAATACATAATTATAACCATTTGCATTTTACAAATGGACAAACAATACTTAGAGGAATTGTGTAAGTAGTGGAAATGGCAAACCTAAGCTTTCAGTCTGGCCATTCACATGTGTATCGCATGTGTTCTTCGGTAGGAATAAGGAGAGCTCAATATAACAGCTGGCAGTGCCTGCTTTCTATCTACATGCTATGCTTTGAATGTTTGTCCGCTCCATGTTGAAATTTAGTTGGTGTTGTAGGGCTAGAGACTTAAGATTTGATTGGGTCACAAGGGCTCCACCCTAATGGGTGGGATTAATGACATTATCAAAGGATGAGTCTGGCTCCCTCTTTCTCGTCCTCTTACCTTTGAAATAATATTACTTATTAAAGCATCAGAAGGTGGAAATGAATTACAGGCATGTGTCAGTAGAGGGAATATCTCAAGGGAATGCAGTGTGTCCCAGAAGAACTACGATACCACATTGTCTGTCAGCATGACTGTTTTAGGACTGGCCTCTCAACAATGGTATAAGACAATGTCATGATTTCTTATCAAGTAAAGAGTGTTACATTCAATTAATTGATCTTTATTACCATGGCAATGGAAGACATTAGGGGCTAAAGAGGACTGGCTGAGATATTAGATTGAACTAAGAGCAAGGTGGGAAGGTGTGTGGACCACAAGGCTCTCTATGAAAGCCAGAAGTCCTCCTGGAGAGGAGCCCTGACTCCGTTTCCTCCCCCAGTTCTCTGCACCACAGACTGTCACCATCATATGAAATGAGGAAGGAGAACCATGAGCATTCAGAGAATGAGACTGAGTTGTTGGGAACTGAAAGACGGCAACCTGAAATAAAATATTCAACAGCAAGATAAAATCAAGGGTGTTTCCTAAAAGCAGAAAGGAAATTACCCAAGGACAAAAAGACAGATGATAGAAAAAAGATAAAAAGTCAGAGGAAATTTAATATACAAACAAGAGTTCAGTTCTAGAGACAACAGAGGAAATAGACTTAAAATTGTTGGACACACAACCCTAAAAGCTAAAAAAGTAAAAATACTTCAAGGTGCTATGAGTTTCCAGAACAGTGAATGGAAGTAAAATCACAAAAGACACTCTGACAATTTCAGAATGTCCAAAATAAAGATAAGATTAGAGTGGATTTAGAGAGGGAAAAACCCTCAGATAGCAGACTACAATTATGGGAACTGGAAGACGGCAGAATAATTCTTTCTAAACTCTAAGGAAATGAGTTCTAACTCAAAATTCTGTAGTGAGTCAAATTGTGAATTGAATGTAAAAGTCCACAAAGGATATATATAAGTATATCAGGTATAATAATCATCTTCCATACACTCAGGAGATAAAAGTGGAGAATGTGTTTTGCTAAAATAGAATAAGCCAAAAGAGAAGAAGACATGAAGTCCAAGAAATGGGAGATCCAACAGGGAAAAAATTCAAGACAATGATTGTTTTAAAGCTGGTTAAAACGAGGTCCCCAAATGACATCGGGGAGGGAGAGCAGAGGCAGAAAACCATCAGAGTACCCAACGTGTTGCACACATGGAAACAACTTTGGTTCTACAGGGTATTTGGAGATTAGATGGTTTTATAGGCTGAATTGTGAGTTCCTCACTCTTACACTGAAGCACTAATGTCTAGCACCTGAAAAATAACCATGTTTGGAAATTAGGATCTTAAATTTGTACTAAAGCTTAAATGTGACCCTCAAGGTGGGCTGTAATCTAGTGAGAGTCATGTCCTTTTAAGAGGAGGAAATTTGGACACAGGGAGAGACACCAGGGATGTGGACACAATGAAAATAGACCATGAGCAGACACAGTGAGAAGGTGGCCCTCTGCGAGCCAAGGAGAACTATCTTGTTACAGTGGCCACAGAAAACTAACACTGATAGTGACAGGCATAGAGAAAATGACAGAACCAAGGAAAGAAACCAAAATTGTACAAAAAGACTGAAATGCAATCATCATACATCAGGTGACTGAGCAGTGAATAACATTATTTACCTAGCCATACTAACGTAGAAAATGAAGACTAGAAGAATATAATTGTATATGTTAACACACACACACACACACTTTTACAAATGTGTGTGTGTGTGTGTGTGTGTGTGTTAACAGAACAAAATTCTCTTCTGTAATAGGAAACCAATAGATAATGTCCGGAACAGAAAAATTTAAAAATGGATAAGCATATTTAAAAATATGGTGCTAAGTTTCAGAGGAATATCCTAGAGTGACTGAAATTGTTACCTCTGAATAATAAAGGGAATGGGGTAGGGTGAAGAGAAAAGAAAGAAAACTACTGCATATATAAGAAAGAAAACTACTATATATATAGTAAAAAAGATATATATAGTATATACATATACAATATACAGTTATAATATATATATATATATTTTTTCTACTAGCATCTGAACCACTTTGTTGGAAATCAAGTATTAATTCCTAAAAGAGGGAAAGAGAACCCTGGTTTGGTGTGCCTGAGAGGACAGCCTTTTCCGTAGCCACTGTGCCATTGTGGGAACCCAGAAAATGACAAAATGAAAAAGCAAAATGCAACCTCAGCCCTGCAGACCACCCAGAACAAGCCCAAGAGTCACTGACATAGACGAAAAGGGGAAACACACACCTGAAATTTCTGAAATGATAACAACTGAAGTAAAGAAACAATACATGAGGCGACAGAGGAAATCAGACCAGAAATAATCTCTCAGGTTAAAAAGGGAAGGCAGACTTTCACACCGACAGATGCCTTTTCCATGCATGTGTGTATGACACAGCTTTCAGGAACTTTCTGGGCAGACTAGGAAGATGAATTGCATATGTGCGAAAGCACAGAGCGTCCCAGGAGAGGGAAGGGGAGAGCTGTTTGGGGCAGGCTTCCTTCTCAGGAAGCTTCGTGTGGAAATGAGCCACGAGCAGCTGCTCTCATGATGACCATGAACATGCAGGGGTGAGGAAAGGGATACTCTCTTGCTATACTTTGATATCTCCACCTTCTAGATAATCTCAGGAGTCTTAGGCCTGTTGCGATCTATACAAAGGGACCTAGACCACCTTGAACTTTCAGCTCCTTGGAAAAGCTACCACTCTGCCTAAAACAACTCCTCTATCCATGCTCCTGCCAACCCCTCAACCTGCTTCATCTGTCTCAGAGCTCTTTCTTGGTATTATTTTTTCTACTTATTTTCTCCCTGATAGAATATAAAGCCACGAGGACCAGGGCTTTGTCTCTCTTGCTCACAGCTGTCTCCAGGGAGCTCAGAGCAAGGCTGGCACAGAGATACCCTAATAGATGTTCATTGAATAAATGAATGAACAGTTTGATCTCTCCAGACAGCCTTTCTAAGGGAAGGCAGAGACTGAGCCTCAAACTCTTCTCCACAGGCTTCAAATTACTCATTTTCTAGTAATATCATTTGCTGTCTTTATTCCAGAAAAAAAAGTTCCAGTTTCCTCATCTGTAGAATGAGCCTTAATTGTCTCTTAGAACCATGGTCTAAGAGGCAATTGAAGGCTTCATTAATTCCCCACAGGATCCCCTCCCCACACATTTGCCCCACGGTCTCCTCCACCCACCATCCTCAGCTCTACATATTTCCACCCGAACCCCTCCATACATTTCTGGATCTCCACAACTTCGCTGGGGTAGAGCTCCACCTCCAGACGCCCATCAGCCTTGTTCTTGTCCAGCCAGCGGTTTGCAGGGAAGGTGTACTGTTTGCCTTGACGGGGCACACGAATCTGAACACTGCCCAGGAACCAGCTTGCATGCAGGCCCGTGCTGTCATGCCCGATCACCAGCCGGTTGATCTAGAATGGAAACGTTATGAGTGTGACCAAGAGGCAGTGCACAGAAACTTCCAAGCCTCAGTCCTCATCTCCCTGGGCATTGGCACAAATAGCACAAACTAGGGCTACCAGTTCCTCGGAAGAGGAGAGGCTGGGACCCAGGCCAGACCATCAGCCAGTTGATGAACCAGGTCATCATCTCTCCTGCCTGGGCCTCCATCCCCTCCTCTTAGTTTAGCTTGCTCTTGAGGCAGCTGTTAGAAGAAAGAAGGTAGCAGATGTGACATGAACTTTAAAAGCTCTAGTAGGTATTTAAAGATGCTAGATTGTGACTGCAGGAGAAAGCAAAACTCAACATGTTTGCCACCTCCTTCTGACAGCTGTCTTACAACTTGGTTTGGTTTCAATTTGAATACACTATTGTACACATGTCTGCATTTCTTTTTGATATTCCCATTCTGTAGGTGACAGAATTTTCAAACAACCTCTTGGGGATCTGTGATTCTGTGTCCAATTACTCCCTTTAGTCTTGGACCTGAAGAATACTGTTCTCTTTCCCCAAAACACTCTATAGCAAATGATTGCTATCATCTACTTCACCTGTAGGCAACAGGGATGATCCTATTGCCATCCATGGATGTACAGGGCCTTTCAGTGTTCAGACAGATTTTATGTTTTGTGGAAATGTTGTGTACTGGGCAACTTTAAATGAGGTAGCATTATCAGATGACCATTGAAATCCCTTCCCAATCTGAAATTTTTTCTTTGATGGTTGATAGAGTGATACAAACCATGTACAGTGCCAAAGGTCAGATTTAGAAAACTGTCCATGCATGCCCTGCTCTCACTCTCTCAAATACTAAGTGCCTCTTTGCAAGTGGTAACGAAAACACCATCACAGACAGGTCCTGGTCCCCCAAAAGCACTGGAAGGAAACTAAGAGCATTTTGAGTGCACATCAAGAGACGTAGGAGAGTTTCTCATTTTTCTGTGGTGCTGAGATTGTGAAAGTTCCAAAGAGAGAAAGAGTAAAGACAGGGCAGGTGTCTCTATCTGATATGACTGGAAGTTCCCTAAGAACAGGGATTGTCATTTGGCTCCACCACAACATCTGGCACCTAAGTTAGAGTAATTGTTCAGAAGTATAGTCTGAGCACTTAGTATGCACTTGAAAGGTGCTAATAATCCCATTAGGATCTTCTGTCATTCTGAATGGAAAAATGGATGCAAACAAAGGTAAGCACTACATGTTTGGTGGCAATATGGGCCTTAGATCAGGCAATTGGCAGCCAGTGTGCAGGACCCAGTGTGATCTTTTGGCCACATTACTGGTTGAGGGGTTTCAGCAGTACAAATCCTACCTGTCCCCTCTTCTTCTGTCATGCCTTCCCCTCAGTTGTGTCACTGAACTCTGTCTTCAACTGATTAGTAAAGGGAACAGCATTTTTACTTTGGAATTATTGATTCAACTTAAAATGTAAATACATTAGATCAAGGAAAATCTGGATCGAAGTTCATAGCCTCAAGGGATAAATAACTGACGTGGGGCTGTTCCTTAGAGCACATGTTGATGGGAGGAGAGAGTTCAGGGCACAAAGCACCTAAAATAAGGGTGGGGCCACAGAGAGGGGAGATGAGGTTGCAGACAGGACTCCCAACCTCCTCAGTTCCTACCATGAAACTCTGGAGATGTCTCAGAGCTCCAGTCCTGGTTTTATACCTTTTTTTTTTGGTATTTTTCCTTTTTTTATTGGTACCAGGGATCAAACTCACAACCGCCTTCTTGCAAGGCAGGTGCTTATGCCGCTGACTAAATCCCCAGCCCCCCTTTATACCTCTTTTTATGCTTCCCCAGGTGAAGTCAAGTCTCACCTCGATCAAGGCCTAGGAGAGCTTGCTCGTCTAAGCTTCAACCTTGGCTTATGAAGACTTAAAAAAACATCAGCGTAGTTCTGACATCTTACAGCTATGACCCTAGGATTGCCCTAACTTCCTTTCTGTGCCTGAGGAGAAAACTCCAGGCTATCAAAAGAATATAGTATTGGCTCCAGCCAATACCTGAGGATGGTCCCTGTCTCCAGGTTCTGGAAGAGAAGGAACCTAACTCTGACAGGCACAGGTTAGCAAACCAGATGGGTTTCCCAGGGCCCCATCTGCTTCTTACATTTCTTGGTACTTTCTACTTTCTCTGTTCTACTCAGCCCCTGTCTACCCTGCATATAGTCCCTCATTCTCCCTTTAAAATATGTAGAAATCTCTACATAAATCAAAGTTGAGTTCAGTTTGTGCGGGCCTCTTTTCCCTGTCACCGTAATATACTGTTGTTTAAAGTTGGCTTCATCACTCTAATGGCCAGCTTTATCTGTGAAGAAGTGCTCAGGTCATTTACTGCAAGGCCACCTGAAACTTCGAAAGATGTAGACTCTTGGATACCATACCCTAAAGTAGTGTTTCCCAAGGACACTCAGTAGGGGCACTGAACCTGATTCTGGTATACACTCAGGTACAGAGTTGGGGAGTATTTTTAGATCCACTTTTCAGTCTTTCTTGTACCTGTATCCCTTTCTCTAGTGTCAATGAGTCAAGTACATTGATTCTGGCCATGTAAATAAACTACTAAAAAGCTACTAAAAATATACATCTCATCCCCAAAGAGGCACTGGGACCTCAGCATTGTTGGTGTTATTTCCATCTGCTCTAGGTTATAGCTGGAAAATAACATACCTCACTTACAGCATCTAAGTGGGCATTTCTTTTCCTTTAAAATGGGTTCACCCAAAACCACTTGAATGTGTGCATGTGCATGTGTATGTGCACACGTATATGGATGTATGTAGAGGAATAGGTAAGATGATTTCACATGACTATGGGACTCACAGTTCCGATGTTCAGGGTCTCAAGGGTGAACTCATCCACCCGGCCACGTTCAAAATAGTCCTTGAGGTTGTTGTCAGAGACAAGAAGAATTTGCTTGATGGTGTCAGATTTGTCCCCATAGAGCTTTATGTAGACCTGAGAATCAGTGCTGGCCCCAGGCACGTCCCCAGTCTTCACACTGATGTGGTAGCGGAAGTCTGAACAGTCCAAGGCAGAAAGAGAGGAAGGAGGTTAGTGTAGAACGAGAGGCAGAAGGTGCCTGGGGTAGCAGGGCAGTCTGCAGTCAGGGAAGACACAGGCGAGGTCAGCACCCCAGGCCTTGTGACTTGAGGGAGAGGACCCTTCATTCTCTCTGGAGTCTTCCTACCTACAGAGCCAGAATTCTGCCTGCTCCAGAAGCATGGAATGTACTGAGAACAGGAAAACAAACTACAAGCTACAGGCAAGAATGCCAATATTTCAGAGACTAAAAAGACCTCCAGCAACCAGTCAGTCCACTTTCTCCTCTCATGGAAGAGTAAACTGAAGCAAAGAGCTCATCAGATTGTATTTAGCACACCACGCACACAGTGTTACTGCTATGTTTTTGATCTTGGCTTTACAGGCAAGGAATCTGAGACCCAGAAGGTCATATGTCTGGCACAACATGGTGACAGTTAAAAAGTTACCAGTCAGAAGTGAAATCCTGATATGTGCCTGAAGCCCCCTGCTCTTAACTGGCCACCATGTAGATGTCACTTTATCACCTCAGAAGGCCTGCAATGCCTGCATGCAAGGATAAAAACACCCAAGAAAAAGGCAAGTCTGGGATAATGTAAGGCAGATGCAAAGTCCCCATGCTTGTTCCAGGGCATGTCTTGGGGAAAGAAGAGGAAGCATTTAAGGGCAAGTGACACTAATTTCAAGACCTGTTACCTTAGGGTCTTCTGCCTGAGAAAAATTTGGAGATAGTGAGCCGAGCACACTTTGCCTAGGGCTAGCCCAGCACACCACTCTGGCATGGATCAGATCAGCCCCACCAGAGATATCCGAGGACACTTGAGAAATGGCTCTGTCCTAGTTGCTAAAAGATACAGCAGAAACTAGAAAACTGCTTTCTTATGCTGGTTCCTATCTGCACCCTTTCAAAACATTCAGACTGCGAAAACAAAGCCCTGTCCACTTGGCAAGTTGTGAGCCTGCAGAGTGGGAAGAGCAGCAGCACAAGGCAGGCTGTTGGTTCCAGCACTAGGTCATGGGTTTAGCCCTGCAAGAACCAGTAGGTAGGGATGGTGTCCCTGACCACGGCATGGGTCACCTCCTCCCCTGAGGTTCTTCCCAGCTCTTAATTTTGTTAATTCTGAGCCCACACACTGAACACTAGTATGACTCTGTGATCTATAAGTAAGGTCAGATATAAATATCTAGCCCCTCCAGACCACAGTGTCCCATCAGACAAATAGAGGATGTCAGCTCTGGCTCACTTCTAGGGTATTACAGGGGTTAACTGAGATATAAATTGTAAACATGAGGTGCTGATATGGTTGAGAGTCTGGAAATAAGTTTCTATTAAATTCTGTCTAAAGCTTAATAGTCAATGAATTTTAAGAAATATCACCAGTAGAGGAAAACTTCAAGGTTCCAGGATACTATTCAACACTTTAAAAGATTTCTCACTTTATAGTCCCTGCAAAATGTATTTCTCCTCACAAGGGAATGTAGGTCCCTTCCATGCTTGGCACCATTAACTGAAGATATCCTTTTTGTCAGCCTGTTGGCCATATGCATTCAGAGCCTCATAGCTATAGCCACACAGAGTCTATGCTTATAGCCCTGACACAAAAGAAATATTCAGACTCTCCCTGAGGGCCTCACATGTACACCCCAGTGTTCTCTCCATGAAATGAAGTAAAGAGCACATATTCTCTTGAAGGGGTTGCTTCAGTTTAGATAAAGGAAGGCATCTGTCCCACGAAGATATCCCACCACCTGGTTGACAGGACAACTCACTCTTGAGTGTAGCGTTGCTGTCACTCGGTAGCAGCTCTCGGACCAGCTGCCCATCATCCTTATCCTTGTCCAACCACCTAGGGACCAAACAGGGAGGTTAATTGTTTGAATGGGTCAGCATACTCCACATCCTCACACCATTTGTGAGAGTCACTGTGGTGCCCACAGCCTTGACTTCAGCAAAGGAAAATGGGTCTGTGAGCGCTCCTGGAAAGCACCCCACCAAAGCCTGGGGAAGGAGGACTTCCTGGAGCAGGGGAGAGCTGGCTGAGACTGGAAGGATGGTAAGGAGTGACCAGGACAGTGGGGGAGGGGCATCCTAAAGGGAACAAGTTCAGAAGAAGAGACAGAAGGCCCACATAGGTTGAACGCAATGAGGGAGGAACCGGGTAATGGCAGATGAGGCTGGAGGGGGAAAGGCCACAGAATATAGGTCGTGGTGATCATGGTAACAAAAAAAAAAAAGAGCCATTATTATGATTAGAAACTAAAATGTTTTTGCTGGAAACTTCCATGTGTATAGCAGTATGCCAACAGGTCTGGTTGGGGGAAGACATAGAGAACACTGAGATGCATAAGACATAGCCCGGTCCACCTGGACTCTATAGTCTAGCTAAGAAGACAGGTTAGGCTGAACGACACATTGAGGTCCAACACAAGGATAGAGTTGGACCAGAGTAAGTGCTCAAGGGATTTAGGAAAAGGAAAGGATTCTCCGTAAATGGAATTGAATCTCTTCCTCAAAGATGGAGAAGATTCACCTTGAGGAAGCTGGTTCTGTATCTTGAAGATCTGGGGTTTGTTAGCTACAACACATTGATATGACTCAGTGAGCTGCAACTTGGCTCTCTACTTGTCATTTTCCAGGAGGAAAACAGTGCACTAGTCACCCAAAAAGTCACCCTTTATACTGAGCTAAAAGACCTTGCCTGAGAAATAAGGCCACATGCCAGTACACATTATCTCAGCTCCGTACTCAGGCTGGCTGGTGATTGGGACCAATGGCAGGATAGCAAGTGGCTTCAGTGTTCAGGCCTCTGAGCTCACTGACATACGACCCTTTTCCGGGGCCAAGGAGGCAGCATCATGCTCTTCCCCGTCCCTTTTCCAAGTACGTGGTCTTACATTCCCATGAGCCCTTGCTGTCAGTGACTGTTAGCTAACACTAAAATGCTAGCCAACCACTCAGCTGTGGCTCTTCTATAGGTTTTGATTCTGTGAACCCAAAACAGTAGAAAAATGTTGAGACTCAGAGTCATGAAGATGTGGTGGAATCCTGAGCATCCCTGATAGGGTTTGGGAACAGATGACAGCTAGCTAGAGTCCCTCAAGTCCACCCACTGGGGCCTCCCACTTTGTTTATCTGCTGAGGTCACTGTGGCCCCTCTCAGTCATGAAACCTGTGGAGGAGAAGACAGGGATGTAGCCATGGCCACAAATTAGCAGAGAGGGAGGAATGGAAGGGCAGAAGACCCTCAGCCACCAGAAATCCTGCTTTCTTTTCTTCTCTCCGCTGCTCACCCAGCCCCATCCCCTCCCCAGCAGCAAAAGGAAACCATGACTTATCAGTTCGTTTCCACCTAAATACTTGCAGGTTATTAATAGATATTGCCCAAAAAAGCTTCAAATGCTCTAGCCTGGTTTCACTGTGAGATGTTGCTAAATGGATAAATCAGTCTTGTGGTGACTTCATTATTATTTCTCTGGGTGCGCGTGCGCACACACACACACACACACACACACACTCCTTCCAAAGGTGAAACGCTTTCCGATCCTGGCAGAGAAGGCCTGCTCTGTCTTCCTCAACAGGAGAGTTAAACCCCAGTCAGTCATTCTGTGTTCACCTCCTGGGCATTGCCACAGGTACGTGTAACGGCCTCCTTGATAGTGCAAAGACACTGATACATCTCCTAGTTCTAAAGTGCATCTGCCAGGGACTTCGAGAAGCCAATAGAAGGCTAAGCTGGCTGAGTAAGAAATCCAAATGCTTCATAGGAAAGAAACTTCACCTCGCTCACAAGTTGGGGAAGGAGAATGCAAAGTAAGATACTTTGAAAAGATGTATTAGAAGGTGACTTAAATAAAACTCCACCTTTAATTCAAAAGTTTAATTCAGCATGTAACTAATTCTCTGAGGGGGCTCTTGTTTAAGTTCAGAAATTGTCAAATTTTATCTGAGAAAATATCAACATTTTAGTACTTAGAGGAAACTACAAACACACTTCGGGGATGGGGAGGAAACGTGAGGCTCAGGTCTTGGCCACCAACAAAGTCACCTTTTTCTTAACCCACTATTTTGCTCACTGATCCTGGTAGTGGGGATGGATCTTCCTCAAGTTCAGGGTCTGTGACCTAAGCTGGAGAAAGTGAAAGCAAGCGGGGCTCATGTACCTGAGACATGGGAACTCCACGTTGTCACTCTCTGGCTGCCCCTCCTCTCGCACTAGTACTCGGTCCAGGTACCAGCCACTGCCTGAGCCTTTGCCATCGTGTCTGATTCTTACTCGCCTCACTTTCCGCAAGGTGACAGACTCGATGGTGAACTCATCTGCCTTTAGGAAGGGAAAGACAGTAAAGTCAGCGACCTCAGAACCCAAAGACCAAGGGAAGTCATATGCCCATAAATTGGAAAAGTCTGATCAGACAGGTTGGATTAAGATCCCAGGAGCTTTGATAGATACTATGCATGCTGGGGAGTCTTTCACAGGTGGGACAAGGCCACAAATAGAGAACAGACTTTAATCTGCTCCCAATTTCTCCTGCTGGAATATCATTCAATGTCAGGTTTCCAACAATCGGTATTTATATTTTTTGGTTAAACACTGCCATTCCCTATGATTTCTGCTTAAAAGACAGCTTCTCCTGGGAGTATGAACATGTCACACTACTTACATGAATTAACTCCTTGGCTAATTTCTTTTCCTCTGCTACATAGAAAAACAGTGGCCACTTTCTGAAGAGAGGAGCCATTAGAATTGATTGATGGAACCAAGGTGTTTTGCTAACTTTGCAGTTTTGTCTGCCACCGAGGCAGCAAAAATACCATAGGGGCGAGAGAATTTCAAGTGTGTGTGTGTGATAGATGTCTCTATGGGTGGGAGCACTGGGGGGTGGAAATGATGGACAAAGATATTAGAAGAAGAAGAGTAGGAAAGGGTGGCTAAAAAGGTGGGTGGGTAGGAAGGAGAGGAAATATAGCCAGAGGTAAAGGCAGCCTCACCTCCTCTCCCCGAATGCACTGGGACCCTCCATAGCATCCTGCTTGGATGATATTTGCCCTGCAACTTTCAAATGCCCATGAACTTAGAACCAGGGCAGCTCAGATTGGCCTCAGAGAGAGGCCTCTATTGACATTCTGGGACCAAACCTGCCCTCACCAAGGAATGGGCTGCAGAAGAAAGAGACAAAGTAAAAACATTTGCAAATCTCTTTCATCTGGGAGCTCCTTTGAGCTTCACCCACTGCCATGGTGACCTTTTACTGAGCATCTACTGTGTGCTGTGGCTGCACATCAGCGAACCCTAATTTGCACAACATCTGCTACAGGAAGGTATTCTTCTCCCATTTTAGACATGAGAAAAAAGGGACACAAGGGAACAGAGTGACTGGCCCAAGACTGGTTGTGTGACAGAGCTGGGCCATTGTTCTACAAGTTCTCCCCAGGAAACCCACTTGCTAGTTGGGGTAACAGAAGGGGACATCTTGCACATTTGCAATGAGGCTAATATCCTCCCACCCCTGTGTTTAATGTCTTTCTTAGTTTCTCTCTCAAGAAGGACAGGACCAAGATGCACCTAGGGTCCTGCCTAGTACAGAATGCAAAGTTTAGCCTCAGGAGCCCAGCTTTCCTCAGTCCAAGTGTTCTTGTGCATATTTAAGATACCAGCATTCTTCTCCTTCCACCCAGCCCAAGGTACCAAAGGTGTTGTTACTCCTTCCTCTTTTCCCAAAGTTTGGGGTAGGGATGGCATCATAACCCCTTACATTGGCTCCCCACTCTTTAGCTACATGGTTCCAGGTGCTTTGGTAGGTACCATGCATGTTGGTGAGTCAGAGTGAGTTAAATGCTCAGGGATCAAGTAAACAGGCACCATGCCCTGTCAGGATTCCCTGGACCTCTATTCTCCTCACCCAAAAAGAAGTTACTTACTCGCTGAAGCTCCATTAGCAACCATCCGTTCTACTGCATAAGAGCAGGAAAGATAAGGAAACAAGCAAGGGGAGCCTGGGGAGTGGCACACTGTTGCAACTTACATTGCCCTTCTCAAACAGGTCGGTGTTATTCCGGCAGTTGTAGAGCAGCCGTTCCCCTGTGTCCCCCACGTCACCATAAAGGCAGAGATACACGTTCGCGTCAGTCCCCGCACCTTCAAATTCTCCTGTGCACACTGTCACGCGGTACCGGGCCACTGGCAGGCAAAGAGAGAAATCCCGTTGGCTGACAGGATCCTGCTCCCTCCTCTCTCCAAGCTCTTACCTGGGTTTCCTTTGCTCCTTACTCCCTAGCTGCTCAAGTCTGGCTGCAAGGAGCCAGTCAAGAGATGGCTCATCCCCAAGATCCTGGGCCCAGGCCAGTGGTGACAGACTTACGGCACGCATGCTGCAGAGGTCGCGCAGAGCCTCTATTGGCACATGGGTCAAGTCACTGCAGCACTGTCCCAGCAGCATAGCATCAGCTACTCAGGTTTATTTGCAACACTGGCACTTTGTGGTTGCAGTTTGGGCACTCAGTCTCTTAAAAATTTCCTTGTCACTGGCCCAGACAAATCAGGGGTTCCCTGTCTTCATCAATCATCAGAACCTCTTGGAAACTTTTATAAGAATCTGGGTTCCTGATCCCCACTTCAGACTTCCCAACGCTCAATGTCCAGATACAGGACCCCTCAAACTGAATAATTCGTGAACTCTCTCAGAGGCCTTTGCTGAAAATGGCCGGAGTTCAAGGATCATTTCCCTAATCCAAACGTGTTTGGCCCTTGGTTCTGCTGAACCCAGTGAACTCTTTGGCTTTAGGTTGTTCTCCAGTTGATACGTGTGCTGTTTTCCGAAGGAAGATAACTTTTCTTTCTGACCCATAGCTAGCCTCCCCTTCCCTTCAGAACTCCCCAGTGCAAAAGAAGTGCCAGGAAGTATAGAGGAATACACTGTGGAAAGGACAATGGCTTCTCCCTGTGTTGAGAATGTACTGTGACGATGCACCTGCATCCCGTACACCACAGCCTTCTTCAGTTAAAATTAGCAGAAAAGTAAAATTTATTTATTTAATCACGCACTCATTGATTTACCCCACATGAACTTATAGAAAGCAAAGTGTTCTTGTGCATATTTAAGACACCGAATAAAAATGTGCACCATTACAGATGCACATTTGTAGTGAGCAAGTTCCACACCTATCTCCACAGGGTTTATTTTAGAACTGAGAGTAAATGACTAGGTGACAGTAAAGTTACAAATGAACTATGCATTATAATTTATGCAACTGTAAATAATTATACAATTTTATGACTATAAATTATACAACTCCACAAATTATGATGTGAAAATTTTCTAAGTTATATCTGTAAGAAGAGATAATACTTTGGAGTGATTCCCAGATTAGAGAGGAATGAAGTGAGGAGATGAAGATGACTTGGATATGCCACACAGATTGCTGCAAGGAGGTAGTGTCTGAGCTACAAAGTTAATGACAGGAGCCACCCACTGGAGATCCTGAGAAGAGCGTATTGGTTTGTGCAAAGGTCCTAATTTGGGGATGACGAATGTATGTCCCTAGAGCAGAGAGAAGACCAATATGGTTGGGGGGTGAGATGGAGCTTGTGATAAGGCCCACAAGTGAACTTGATGTAGGACAGAGAGTGTGGCAAGGCTGGCTGGGGAAATGGGCAGAGCTTGGCAATCGCAAAATCCCAGGGCGGTGCAGATAATTCCCAGGACCCCACAGTAGTTCTACCTCAGGCTCCCACAAAATGCAGACAGCATAAAGGAGACCAGATGCCATGAGGAATCCACAGAGTGCACTTTTATTTTTACTCTTATCCTTTCCTTCGTTCAGCCGAAGTTTGCACTATAGAGTCAGTTCTTCCCTTACCTCTTTACCCCTCACTTTTCAAATCAACTTTTGACCTTGTTTTGTCTCATTCGGTTCTCTGTTTGAGGGAAGAAAGACCTGGAATAATTTAATTGGTAAGTCATTTCTAAAGGGCCTACCTGACAATAGACAGAGGGCAGACACATGAGGTGTGACAGATTAAGGTAAGAAGTGACTTCTTTTGGTAAAGCAGGAAGCCACTAGAAAGTCTTATGCAGAGGAGCGGAATGATCTGATCTTCAAAATGCTAAGGAGCACTCTAACTTCTATGTGGAGAAGTGATTATAGAAGAAGAAGAAGGAGTGGAATCAGAGAAGTCAGTAAATAGAATAAATACAATAATCTAGAAAAGATAGTGCTTAGGACTGGAGGTGCAGAGGTCATGGAGAGAATTTAATAGGTTAGTAATATATTTTAAGGGCAGCTCTTGGTAATGGTTTAGATGGACAATTGAGAGAAATTACGGACACTCTTAGGCTTAAACATGGATAACTAGGTGGATAGAATTGCCAATAGGGATAGGGGGAAATTTAAAAAAAAAAAAAGGAATGGGCAGCCTGACATGGGGGAAAAGATGGGTTTGAAAATGGAAATCAATGGTTTCATTCTGTTTATTATAAATCTGAGGTGCTTATTAGATCACAATGACAGCATGTCTGGAAGGTCCTAGTGATAAGACTTTAGTTAAGTGCTTTATTACAGTTAAATTATTGAAAAGGACTGAAAGATTATCCAAAGACATAATAGTCAGAAATTCCCCAAATCTGATATAAAACACTAATATGCACATGCAATATGTTCATTGAACTCTAAGCAGGATAAATTCAAAGAGATCTGTACTTAAACACATCCTAGTCAAACTCCTGGGAGTGAAAGGCATAGAAATTCTTCAAAGGAGCAACTGAAAAGTTTAATATGTTCATCACATAACAAGGGATCCCCAATAAAATTAATAGCTGACATCATTATAAACTATGGAAGTCGGAGGCAGTGGGATGATGTAGTCAATGTTCTGAAAGAAAAATCATTAATCAAGAGTTATAATCCATGAAAAGAATGAAGAATAAGTTAAGACATTCCCAGATGAACAAACATTTCAAAAATTCATCACTAAAATATTTTCCCTTAACTAAATATTAACAGATCTTCATGTTAGACATTAGATAGTAATTAGAATTCACTTATAGGAATAAAGATGAACAGAAAATATAATGTCATTAATACAGAGAATGTACATTTATTTTAGTTTTAACTCTTTTATTCCCATATTTTATACAAAAGAAAACTGCGTAAAATAATAAATATAAAACTGTACTGGTGAGTTTTTAATGTGTATATTTAGAATTTATATAACAATAATAGCACAAAGCAGAAAGAAAAGGAGCAGATCAACAATGGAGCAAAGTTTGTGTATGTTGCTGAAATTAGGCTGATATTAACCTAAACTACATTGTGGTGACTTAAAATGTTCCCCTTAATTTCCTGGGCAATCACTAAGAAAATAATTCAAAGAATATATAATAAATGAAATAACACAAAAAGAGAAATGGTACTTTATACAATATCTAATATTATAGGCAGTGAGCTAAGAGTCAAGGAACGAAAGGATATAAGACATACAGAAAACAGCAAGATGTAGTTGTAAATTCTCACATATTGGGAATTGCATTGGTGCATAGCATTAAAAGTAAATGGACTTAACATTTCGATCAAAAGATAGACCCACATTTTCTCACCCATAAAGAGGTTATTCATTGGCTGAGGCTCCAATGCCAGGAATCGGTTTTACTTTTAGGGTTAAGGAAGATAAAGGAACAAGGAAAGGGAGTTCTGGAGGCAGCAAACTTGCAACTTACATTGCCCTTCTCCAACAGGGCAGCGTTATTCCTACAGTTGTAGAGCAGTCACTGCTCTGTGTCTCCGATGTCACTGTAAAGGCAGAGATAGATGTTGGCATCCATCTCTACACCTTCAAATTCCCCTATGTACACAATTATGCATACTAGTCCCACAGAGATGACACAGATCTGCCCTCTGCAAATTTGCTCAGACATCAAAGCTGATGAAGCTAGACACCAGCAACCAAGAGCACATGTAACACATATTATTCACGCTACGAGGAGTTCTTGAGAGAGCTTGACAGGCCCTCAAGAAGGACCAGATATAGCTTGAGGCAGCAGAGAGATTGGGATTTTGTTATAATTAGGTGGCAAAATTGAAGTGAAAGATCCCATGTATAGATCAGGGCTTGTGTGATTTGAACTTTCCACCAATGCCAAAAGACAGGGCCTTCAGGCTTATCAACTTCCCTAGATAAAAGGCAAATAATAAGAGAGGAATGATGTAGTTTGAAAACTGTAAATAATCAAACATCAAAAAGAAATTAGACTTCTTATAATACAGAGATTGGCAACATGAGTAATGGATCTTGCTATCTTCTGTCAACAAAAGACATACTTTAGACTTAAAAACACAAATAGGTGGAAAGTTAAAGGATGGCTACCAAAACTTGCTCAAGAATAAGGACAATCCAAGTAGGCTAATAACAAATGAATAAATCAGTAATTCAAAAACTATCCACAAAGAAGAGTATGCACAAATGTGTTCAATACTGAATCCTATACCATTCAAAGAAAAAATAATACCAATTCTCAAATTCCTGCCAAAATAGAATAAGGAATACTTCCCAACTCATTTTATGAGGCCAGCATTACCTTCATACCAAAACTGACAAGGACATCACAAGAAAGATTAATATATTTTATGAATTTGGATGCAAAAACTATTGATATGTTACCAGCAAACAAACTCCAGCAGTATACAAAAAGAATTATGCTCTATGACAACACAGAATTTATCAAAGATAAAATTAAACTACTGAAAATCAATTACATTAATATATCATATTAATAGATTAAAAAGTGACTATCACATGATCATCTCAATAGATGCAGGAAAGTCATTTGACAAAATCTTATACACTTTCATAATAAAAATCATCAATAAAGCGGGAACAAAAGGAACTTCAGCTTAAAAGTGACACACCAACAGCTAACATCAGATCCAAGGGGGAAGATTGGATGCTGTCCTCCAATGGTCAAAGCAAGACCAGGGTGTCCCCTCTCACCTCTTCTATCTGATAGGGCATTGAAGGTTTCAGACAAGGCAATAAGGTGACATTATGCAGGGATACAGATTGGAAAGAAAAAACCATCTCTATTCACAAATGACATAATTATGTATTTAGAAATTCATAGAGAATCCACTAAAGAAACTATTAGAACTTTAAAAAGCCACGCAAAGTGGGAGTATATAAGATCA